AAAGGCTTTTCTAAATTCCATTATTTTTGTCAGCAATGCCGTTCCGCCTATACTACGCGCCGCTGGGCGACTGTTGGCGGGACACTAGAGAGAGCCATAAGGCACAACGGAACGAATGATTTCCGTAACGTCATCGCTGGGCGTCCCTATGCCACTGATTACGTATGTTTTCAAGTTGTTTATGCTGCTTATTGCTTCGTTACCTTATAACACCCAGTAGTCTCATATATTTAAAAACATAATTACTCCAGTTATTTATACCCAATGCCGCCCTATTATTCGGTCTTAAAGTTAAAAAGTTATTATCTTGCTGCGGTTGTCTAAGTTACTCAATTGACGATATTTTTGTTTAAAGGCGATCTATTGAGCTTCTGACGGTAGCAGTTTCCAAGTGTTGATTTTAACTGTTGGGTAGCTGGGAGTAGGGTTATCCTGCAAGCCGATATATGAGTCTTTTCTATTTATTTCGATTTTTATTTCCGTTACCAACTGACATAATTTTAGTGCCAAAAACATGCAGGGCACATTGCTGTCTCTTTAATTATGCTTTTTGAAGCAACACTTAAACGTTATTTATTTGTTACAATCTGGATAACGTGTCAGCCTTTTCTGGTAGCAGTATCTTATGAATAATTTGAGGGATTAAATTCATGCTTTATACCAATTTTTAGGCTTTCCGGGCTTTTTGTTTGACAAGTATTCCAAGAAAACTGCCTCGGTTGCCCAAACATCTGTAAACAAGGCGCTGTCGGTATTTTGCAATTCAAGGTGTTTACACGTTTATTTATCTATCTAGTCAGTAAGAGGGCCTGATTTTTTAATATCGGCCTTTCAACTCCATATCTGACACGTGTGGTGACTGCTATTAAACTTTACCTTAACACCCCCCACATGCTGGGTAATATAGCCTGGCTCTGTGAGGTATAAGGTATAACCAGCGCATTCTATCTCAATTTGATGTTCATCTAAGTAGCACAACGTGGTTTGGAATGTTGCTAACTGGGGATATTTCACCCGGGACGGTACCCAATTAAATGAAATATGAATTAGTGGGTGTGCGGAACAAGCTTAAATGCATCACCGTCAAGATGAGAGTGAAATAACTGTTTAAGCCTTACGACAAAGCCATATATGCTTTCATCTTAATTTGGTTCTTTACCGTAGCGCTAGGCCATTGGACATAAAACACCTATGTCCTGGTGGTGAAATTATTTTTCCGGTTTGACGGATGAACAGTTCCATATGATAGGTAATTGCTTGTTGGTAGTAAAATTAAAGAAACCGTTGCACTTGTTTCTGAAGGTAAAAAATTCAGAAGTGCTGCATTAAGGACAAAGCGCCTTTCTTCAAATTATTCCTGTCTTCCTTTTGAGCAAATCTGAGGTTACAATCGGCATCGGGCCATAGCTCGTCAAGCATCATTGGAATTATTTGTTTTCCTTTGACGATATCTCGCTGCTGATGATGCAAGTGTTAATCTTTAGCATCTGACTAAATTTTGTTCCTTGTGCCACCCGCATCATTGAATAGACGGTAAACAATTTAGGCCCGATTTCTTGTACCCACCAGAAGGTAACCCTTAAAGGAACTAAACAAAATGCGAAACGATGGGATATATTTCCCCGCAAAATGCCCCCTTGATCGACTGACAGGCATCAATCCCTCCTAGATATTAATAATTTTATAGTACAGCGATACATTTATTCTTGCATCACTAAATGGCATGTTCGCACAAAATAATGACTCAACGTTTTCTTTCACCAAACCCAATAAACGAAAAATGCATCTATTTTCATGCAGCTAGTCATAGAGTGCACTGAAAATTGTCCCTACTGGTGCAATTACCAATTTACTAGCAACATAACTCAATCAAGAACTGGGACGACTGTTGATTATGCCCAAGTTTCCGTCGTTGTTCGATTACTGCTTGGATATCCTCGCATCTAAATCAGTTGTAAATTTCTACTTTGCGAAACATAATCTCCTGAGAGTTTATCGTTTTCAAAATGTTCAATCTGCATAGATTTACGATGCCTCTTAATCATAAACAAAATCGCTTTGAATGCAGCATCCCAAAAACTAATATATGTCGACACTAACACAGAGGTAGAACGAATAAATGGCGAACTGGATAAATACTGATTTGCATACCTTGTAAAGGTTCATGGTAAACACTGAAACATTAGGTTCGCACGAATCAATCTTTCCCAAGAGTAGATCCATCTTTCCAGAGATTTTTAAAATGAATTGGTATGTTAATTATTACATCGGAAGGGTTTTCAGGGCATTAGTCGACTTCCAAAATTCATGTTTTCTCTAAGCTCACTTGAAACTTCTCTAAGGTTATTTCTCCTGTCAAATTTAAAAGAAGTTCCCTCGTTGAACTCCCATGTCTTCTAGTTCGTTTCCCACTCTTTCTTTAACTTTTCATGCCGCTTCTTCAGTCAGACCTCTGAAATTATACAAAATTCCATTTCGCTGATCTATCCGAAATTTCATATTCTAAAATGAAATTTAAAAGGAAAGGAAATACGGCCTCTGTGGGTCGAGCGTTTGCGGATTTATTCAACTCTCCAGGCTCATGCTCGAGCGCAATATCGGAAATTAGCAAAATTGGTACATTAAATTTGAAATCGGTTAGGGTATGGTATATGACCGGGGTTACTTACTCCGGGACCAATTACGCTAAAAGAAAATAACTGAGATATTTAGTTATGCGTGCGAAAAGAAGAAATCAAAAGACTTCTTGGTGGCTGTTGTGTAAGGGCGGTCAAAATGCCTTGATTTAGTCATCGGAGTAAAAATACGTCGATGCAATACCTTTTTGAAAATGCCTTCAGAGGACATTATTTTTACCATCCACTGATAACAGTTGATAAACTTAGTGTCTCATTTTTATTTTTTAAAATAAAGAGGATCAAATATGTTTTACAGCAAAGTTTTTAGATATTGAGATCTTTTGTTCATGACAAATGCTGCGCGGAGCAAGTAACCCCAGCCATAAACCATATCTTTGTCGAATTTCGATGTCTGTATGGACTGGAACAGTAGAAAAATACTAAATCGTATTGCGTCTGTCCGTCTAGACAGGCAGCCGATAGCGAGTTTTCCAATTTCTGGTATGTAGTTTGAATAACGGAACGAAATGAACATTTATATCTAACTTTCGCTTTCTTTCATAAACTCACATCTCCATCCTACTTTTCAGTGCGGTAGATTGGGATATTCATGGAAAACGTCCAGGAATAAAACGTCTAACCTACTTTGATTATAAAAGCTCTTTTTATACAAACAATTATTTTCCGATAGGAACGTAGGCATGGTAGATAAAGAACACTCGCTCATGAATTAATGAATGCCTTTACGCCTTCAACAAATTCCATGAAGAGGCTGCTTGAGTGTGGTTGACCATAAGAAAATTTGTCTTTTATTGGTACCTTTGAGTGTGTCCTAGTAGGCGGTAGATTCCCCTGCAGCTGCGTTCAAGCCGTCAGACTCTAGGCGTTAATGAGTTGTGGTCTGTTAGCATTTGTGAGTGCATAAAAATTGGCAAAACGCTCCACAGTTGACATGAAGACGGGACCTTGCTGGCAGTTAACAGATCTGCTCGTCATACCATCCGTTTCGAACGCATCAGCTTTTCTTCTAGTGCTGGATTATGCTACTTGTGGACCTTCCTGTAGAGGACAGTGTGCGGCGAGCAGGCTGCAGCGTCGTCGAATGGCTCCCGCAAATGCATTTCACCTTGGATTTAGATATATGTCTTCCAGGTGTGCGGCAATTGTTGAACGGAGCATGTATGCGCTCCATTTCGCCACACCGCAGCTTGACTGATATAGGCCACTTGAGGGCAAAGGAAGTAAGATTATCACAGCGTTCGCATTTTTCTGCTCTCCTAGGTCCAAAACGCCTTCAGAATAATTACGAGACCATTGAGTGCATGTTCTGAGGGGCCGAAAACCGGGAGATGTTCATTCCACTCTAATCTGACCTGTGAGTCAGGCAACAGTGCCTTTTTCTAGTGCGGCCTTAATGGCAGTTCACAGAGGGCGTGCGTGTGTAAAACGCAGACGGTGGCCTTCTACGATGTACGTCACGCTGTTCACGGACTTGTGCAGTCGTCAGATTTACGAGGGAACGACGGAGCGACCATCGTTAGGACTGCACGAAATGTTACTGGTTACCGACCCTCCTTAACCATTACGTAGATCTTAACTTTTTAGATTTTTTTAAAATTGAGGCCAGATGTGGTTATATAACCGCATTTACGGTAGACAGATCCCTGCCACCTGTAATGCGGGACCGGTGGTAGTAGGGTTTATTACAAACAGGGCCTGGGAACGCACACACGACGAGGTCAAGTACTTGTATGCAAAAGAAGAGCTATTGGGAATGCGCGGTTGTACTTAGAGTGGTTGATAAATAGTTGCCCTAACCGCTAACCCTAACACCTAACTCTGACCACTAACGTTAACCTCTCACCCTAACCCATAACTATATCCCCCAGCTTCAACCCATAATCCTTGACCATCAAAATATGAACTTTTGTGAAAGCAGAAACCTAAAGCTTTTTCATGCTCCCTGTATTGTTAAGGTTATTTGAGAGGTTGCTGAACAGAAGGCTTGACCTATTTTTAATGCCGCACATCTACTCACAGAAGTTTCTGTGCCAAGGTAGCATTGAAGATCTGGTCAGACCAGCGTTTTACTTTGTTAAACCGACGCGTACGCTTGATATGTGCTGAACACTTAAGCTTACTACTAACTTACGCAACCGTAGCTCTTAACTACAAACATGTTTATCGTCATTCTCAAGAACTTAAGATACTAAAACGAATGTTGTACTTGTCCTCCTTAATATGGAAGACAAAAAATAGCTCGGAACTAAAAAACGGGAAGTAACACCTTAGAGAATAGAACAATTTGGGGCTGGAAATCCTTATGCTCGAAGGGGAATCCAATTCACATACGCCACGTCTTTCACAAGCATGTAACGATCATTACAGCACAAGAAAACAGCCGACAGGTGGATTGGCTGCTTCGTTCCTCGTCTTGTCAGTAGAGTCATTTGTACACAAAAGGGTCTGTCTTGTTGATGATGACAATGATGACGTGGCAGGTGGCAAAGGGAGTGTGTTTGCTGGCTCAAACTCTTCGTCCAGACTCCCCGTCGCCTGTGTGGAGGGGGTTGATACAAGGAGGTCAAAGTAGGCCACGACGGGACCCTCCAACTTCGGCAGCTGATTTGCCGCACCTGCTGGTGGTGCCTCGCCCGCGTGATGAACTTCGCAGCCTTGAGCACTACCTGGCGGACCCAGAAAGCCCTCATTTATCTGCCATTCCAAAGCAGGACTCTCTGCGGAGGTCAGTAGAGCATAGTGGACTTCAGGAGATGGCAGTTTGCTGAGATCCCCCGGTCGGTCATTGGGACCCCTATTGTCTCCGGATACCTGTGGGGGGTCCATGAATGTGCTAACCTGATCGCCTGCCGTGTAAGTGGTCCTCACAGTGGCGAGACTGATGCTATCGCTGGCTGCTGCCGTGGCTGGCTGTGATACCCGCCTAGCTGTCTGTCGGCTGTGCCAGACGAGCCTGTTTTGGGCTTCCGACTTGAGCAAACTGGCGCAACCATGACCGCCAGCGCTTGGCAGTGTGGCATCCGTAGTAGTGCTCTGGCCAGGACGGATCTGTCGTGCAGCCGAATTAGTAGCCTGTTTGGCACGCGCCCAGAGGATGGCAGCGAACAGGGCGAACCCCACAGCAAGGCTGAAAGCCAGAATGAGCAAGCACATGACAATGTTGCTGAGGCCGAAGTTGAAACCACCTACTCGGCCCAAAGCCTGCATTTCATCTGGCACCCTATCCACTGTGCCGAGGCCGGGTCCAGCACTCACATTACTCACAAGTTCCGAGAAGGTGCCGACGAAACCGCCCGGATGGGCATCCATGCCTGTGGAAGTGTCCGCAGCATCGGCCGGCCACAGGGCCTGTCCTGGCATCTGAAAAATACGTTCGATCACTACGAAGAAGTAGGCATTGGAGTAGCGTTTCGGGTCTAAGGAATTGGTTATACGGAGGCAAACTCTGCAGGAGACCTTGGAGGATTGCATGGATAAAGAGGAAACGGAGGAAGGGGAGGAGAAGAAATCCTGATTTTTACTCAGTTTCAACTTTTTGGACTTCTGATCAAGTTCAAAGAGGGAGGAGCCATTGCATTCATTTTGGGCCTGAAGGACGATAGTTTCCTTCTCTACACTTGTAGACTTTCTTCCAAGGTCGTATGTCTCCAGCTGGATGGCTACGTCTGCCAAAGCCTCAACATTCTGTCTACTTCCATATGGTATGTTGATCTGCAGGGTTACAACGGAACCGGGAAACGGTTTCACCAAGAGCGGTACATTTTCATGGGGTTTATCGACAATCACCGTTATGCTCGCGGTTGATGACATTTGTCTCAGCTCTCCATGATCTACTGCTGATATGAGCAAATGAAAAAGGGAGACATTGTTGCGGGCTATTGGTTGCAGCGTAACCAGGGCTCCATTGTCTTTCAGTGAGAAGAAAGAGTCGGGGGCAAAATCACCCTCCGTTTCGTTAGCCCTGTCGGGAGGCGGAAACGCTGACTGGGAGAGGAGTTTCGTCGAAACTGCCTGATGGCCATCCTCATCGGGATCTGTGAAGACAATCCTAGAGACCAGGAAACCAGCAGGTGTTCCCTTCTTGATCGTAATCAGGGATGGACTAGCGAGCCGAGGCGGGTTATCGTTCACGTCTTTCACAGTCACTCGGACAAGAACGTGTGAAGAAAACACCTGATCGTTTGAATGGTCCCGTGGGACGTCTTTGGCCACCAACAAGAATTCATAGTATTTAGCGCTTTCGTAATCCAATGGCGCCCTCAGTGATATGGCGCCAGACTCCGGTCTGACCACAAAATGTTGTAAAACAGCTGAGAAGTTCTGTTTCGATGGTTTATACTCCATTGTCACCGGCTCCATACTGAATACAATATCCTTGCTGTCAGCATCAATTACAAGCGGGAGGAGGATGGGTCTTCGCAGGGGTTCATTCTCAGGGACAACAAGGTCATAGGTCGATGTTGGATTTCTACGGGAGGAATAAAAAACTGGTGGATTATCGTTGACGTCAGTCACTTTTACGGTAAGGGGGAAGATCACTTTCGCTGGCGGTTCGGCAGCATCTATACAAACCAGGTCAAATTGCAAAAAGGGCGTCACTTCATAATCCAACACCTTTGTCGTCCAAATGGAGAGGAAAGCTTCACCGGCCACAGAGAGCAGACGTAACGGTAAACCATTTGCATCAGCAATGCTGCAGGAAATATTACCCTGACTGACGTCGTCCACGTCATTAATGGACATCTGCAGAGCTAGAACACTTGCTCTACCATTCTCGGGAACCGAATTGTTCTGCTGGATTATAAGCTCCGGCAGGTTATCATTCACGTCTTCGAGAAGAACAGTGAGCGTGAAACTGGCAGACAAAGATGGACGACCTTCATCACTGGCGATCACAACGAGTTCGACTTTGCGTTCCGAGAAGTCTTCATAGTCCAGTGACGGATGGACGAAGAGCTCGCCTGTTTCCGAATCCAGGACAAACTTCTTGCCCACTGAACCAATGGAATGTTGGGGAGGAGAGATAATACTATAGCGCAGTCGTCCATTTTTATCGGAGTCAGCATCGCTCGCTCTAAAGATGAACACGGGCTGATAGTATGTTTTGTTCTCCTGAATTCGAATGGTGTCCCTGGGTTTTTCAAATATGGGTGCATTATCATTTATGTCGGTGAGCCTGATGTGAATGGTGATTGAGCCGGATAGCGGTTTCTCGCCGCCATCAATCGCCATCAACCCGACTGTCAAGTTATGATGCTTAGGATTCTCGTAGTCTAAGCGTACAATATTGCTTAGCTGCAGACATGGATAGCAGGACTGGTCTGAGGAGGAGAGAGCAAAGAAACCAGCTTCCACGGCCTCACCATATAGTTGGTAGCGCACGACTCCATTTGCCAGCGAGTCCTTGTCCTTGGCCTGGGGAAGACTGTGCATATTCTCCTGTTCCCACACAGAAGACAATTCAGGCGACTTGACAAGCGATGACGCCTCCGGAATGGTCAACGTAAAACGAGTGTTCTGAAAACTCGGCGCATTGTCGTTAACATCGAGAATATGGACCATGACCTTGACTTTCATTGTGTCCGAGTTCTTCCCGATGTCGGGCCGAATGAATACGGCATCGAAGGTGAGATTGCAGTGACTAGCTGTACAGCAGTCCAGGGGGCCACAGATGCGAGCTACATCGTCTCTGTCTACGTGGCTGATGGTGTAGAGGTCGCCCATATCACTGAGGTGCAGAATGTTGGAGGCGAGGCCGCGGCTGTCCAGCAGTGTTGCTCGGAACTTTTCTTTGTTGGCAAGGAAGCTGTCGAATTGAGACAATTGCTTTGGAATGTTGCCAATGAAAAAGCTTGCTGGCGTTTCGTCGCCTAGCACAAAGGTGACGAAAGGGTCTGTTGACGGCATTGATAGGGACTGTGTTGCCAGGTTTGGACGTGAGTTGGTGAAGGGAGTAGACAGAGCTAACAAAGAAGCCAGCAGAAGTACAAGATGTTGTGTCACGACATCGTAGTTGTAAAGCTTCATTGGGGGCAGGCATATCTGCGTTCCGAAAGCTGTCAATAAATCATCTAGCCTTCTTCGTTCGAGCTAAGTTGTTCATTGTTTAGGCAGTTTGGTGGTTGCTGAAGAAGAAAAAGACGCAACAGTTGGTGCGACTGTTTACAACATATTTTTCTCCCAGAAAAGATACTGGAAATACAGTACCGACATTTAAAAAAACTACAATAGATGTGTTGTCTCGTGAAATGTGAACAGCAATTTTTAAGTATTTCCTCTGTTAGGACATAGTACTTAAGTAAGTTCATGAGATCAAACATCACACAGCTTACTTAAAAGTTATTTCAGTCGAATCACAAAGCTGGTTTTTGAACGGGCTTCCTTAATTCTGCTTGCGGAAACTACACTGTAAAAATGACTATTAATATAGTATGATATTCTTCTACTGAGTGACGGTGCCCTTATAATTTATAATATATTTTAAAGAAAGCATGCCAAAACATTTTCCTTGCACCCATATGGCAGCACATCACGTTTTCTTTAAACATAGTGCGTTAAAAGGAGGTAGGCTTCGCTATTTAAACAGTTTCTTATTATGCGATTTTTTAAAATTGTTGAATGTCCATACATAAACTAGCGTATCTCTACGTTTACGTATGCTGTTCCCAAAGAATATAACATGGTCCGTATTAATTGCATAATTCTACGAGTCTTTTATGATATCTTCATAATGGCATACATAAATATGTAATTTTTCATACAATAGAGCTATATAGATTGTGGTTTAGAAACCCTGAATTCAAGTGCATCGGCAGGCATGGTTAAAATTTTTCCTGGGATTGAGGTTTTTAAAACGGCAAAATGCGTTTGAGTACAAAAGTTGAAGAAGACGAAATTTATCGCTACAAGCAGAAAAGAAGAAAAAAGAAGGATCGTTTTGCAGCGGCCTTCTCTAAAATGTACTTGAATTCATAAGGACAAGGAAAATCAATAAAAACTTATACTATGCTAGTAGCCACTTTTTACAGGATGCAGATTTGTTATTGGCTCCGAAGAAGCTTGTTCGAAGACGGGCATTCTGACGTGACTGAATTACATTTTGCTTATGCATTTTGACACACATTTGACACATATTGACGGTGCTCAGGTCACCAAAAGAACACGACTACTTTGTAATCTGATCCTGAAATGTTTGCTAAATTAAAGACAACACAACACTGGTTTTGACGGCAAAGGCGAAGGAAATGCACTGGAGAGAGACAAATTTATTTTTTGTCAACACAACATACAACAGATGGGCTAGCTCGTGAAATGTCAACCGGAATTCCGAAATGCGTGTTCGTTCGAAAAGATTGATTAAGTCGGGTTGTAAAACTAGTCACGATGCAGCATAAGGCTACAATAATCCCGTTACTTCAAGATGCCGGCTTTGGAAAGAACGCTTTTCCGGCCCAATGCAAGACAGTTACTCTGCCAGAAACAACTACCGATTTAGCCTGAATTTTTCCCATCTATTTTTGATATTCTTAAAGATTAAATTATATATTTTATAAAAAACATGTATACAAATATTTGTGTTTATGCTCACTCTGTAGAAAACTACGCACCCTTCCAATTTTCTACCCGAAAAAGGGATATAATTGGGTTTTCAAAAACCTTTCCAATTTCCGTATTATTTTGAACCCGACCTGATTTTACACTTGCATTCAGGGTTTCCAATCTACAAGCCGTATACTCTTCACGTAAGGAGAACCATACTTTTCTCTTCTTTCTTAAAGAGAGAGTACATGGGGTTTATAAAATTTAGCAGTGGATTTAAGACATATTGTGTATATAAGACAACGCGTAGGCAACTTCAGGGGTCAACTGGTTCTGGACTCTACAGTATGGACTCTTAATTAGGAAAGCGGATAAAAAACGAATTTTTAACACGCAAAATATACAATTCAACGCAGGCTTCAAAGGCCTTCTAGCTAAGCCAAAGTATTCAAAAATGTGTTGAATAGTCCAAAAAATCTGGATATGTGGGGGCAAAGAAATCCGGAAAAACGGAAATAGACGAACGTTTTGGACGATGGGTCAATGCTAAAAAGCATTTAGACAAAGTTGATTAAAATGGTATCTGTGAGGTGCCAGCCAATTTTCAGGGAAAGTAATTTTACCACTTATAATATTTGATATTACAGGAATTTAAAATGGATAACTGGCAAAAACGGTGTCCACGAAACCGGCGCTTTGGTTTACTTCCTTTCTTTTTTTGCAATCTGACGTAATAGGTATTCAAATGGCCCTCCACTTGGTCGATAGAAATATGAAATGTGCTGCTGCATATTTGTCTACCTAAGACAGGTTTGCTCAATTTCATGAGATGCCGAGTCCAGCCGTTCAAAATCCGCAAAACAAACCATGTGGTTAGGTAAAAGGAGGCCGCTGTCGCTCTTTCGGCAGATGTGCTCAGTCGGTCATCTAACTCTTGTTGAATGCTATCAAGCTGGGATTTCGACGGTAGCCTTTAATGTTTACCGGTCGGCACACGGAGGAGGCGAAGTCAGTATGTGGATACAAATAATCCTCATCGAAGACGGTATTTTTTCATCGCAAAATGGTTGAAGACTGTGAGATAAAGGCTTCATATACAGAACACTGGCCATCTGTCGACGCATTAGCTTTTCTGTGCAAAGCGCTCACTTCATGAATATGAGATTTTTTCTACTTGTGGTTGACTATGTTCACTTGTTAAAGTTGCGGCATAACGGCTAACGGGAGATAGGCCCAAGGACAAAGCGCACTGGCCGCGAATATAAATCCTAAGTTTACGCTTTGTCCACGACTAGTTTGGCACGGTGGCTGCTTTGATAAAACTCCCCTCCCGTTAGATGAACAACCTTTGCACTCGCACAGAAATGTAAAAACGGGTTCATGGACCGTTACTAGATGTCAGTATTACAATTTCTTTAAAGCGATTTATTTCAACCACTAAAATAGAAATACTGAAGCTGGCATGCATGTAAATATTGAAAAGCGCTCTTCAAATTCGCACTCAAAGAGCTTTTTGTATGCTATTTAAGTCGGCACATCAGGTGCTCTCCTGACAGCAGCACAATGCTTTCTCATGAGTTTTTTTCTCCATTCAGTAGTCTCAGTAAGACCCTGGGAGCAGAAACAAATAAACGTACAGTGCGCCCGTCAATGCCTACCTAGAGACTCCTGTTCCACCTTGAGCTAATATCATGTACCGAACAATCACTGGTAGGTGTTCAGGTCAATGTGTTCAAGAAAAATGTATAGCAGAATACTGAAACTGAATTACTTGCAATTTCGAGCTGGTCCCTTATTTTCTCTAATAAAGTGCTGCAGTTGAGTCAATGGAATTTAAGCACAAACAGCTCTACTATATTACAAATCCGACCAAAACAAAGAGGGCCTAGTTAAACTGCTGCTTATTAAAGTGAGTACAGACAAATACCTGTTCTAAAATTATTTTAAAAAACTCAGAAAGACTTTGACATGCCAATGATCGTCAAAATCGTCAACACATCAGCCGGAAAAAAATTAATGTACTTTGACTAAGTTACGAGGTTACTAATTAAATAATCTATGCTATTGGGAACGCATTTTTATAAAAGGTGCAAAATATGTGGGCTTAAAATCGGCCAACCACTATCAACGGCCCCATGAAACGTGCTATACTACTTTCCTAGTCACATCCCCCTATGCACAGCAAATTTTCTATGATCACTTTCGAGTGGATGCTCTCAAAACAAGATATAGTAACGGCTACCCCAGTACAGTGTGTGCGAGGCTTTTAAATGCACTAGAAGAACAACACCTAACCTGTGGTATTATGTTTATTTTGTTTGATTGACCAAACAATAAAATAGCTCTCTTGTCGACTGAAAATTATTATAGAAAATTTCGCCGTAAATAATTACTTCTTGAAAGTTGCTTTCAACTACTTGTGAAACATTTTAGACGTCTTGTGAATATGAGTATTTTTCACGTGCCTAAACCCATTAAAATACTCTTATTATTGCCGACTGCTACTCACGGATTCTCTTTTACCCTCAAACACGTTAAGACAAGAACATGCAACATTTACCTATTTCTTGAAAACAAAGAATGACTTGGCAAAAAGCGTGTTTGGTTCAAAAGCAGCTTGTTGATAGTCATTTTCAGATGTACGCTTCCCAACGTAATTAGGCTATCGGTTATGAAAGTAACCTCGAGTATGAGCACTAGTTTTACAACGAATATCTTCGGGCATGAAGGAGTAAATATGTGGCTCAAAGTCAAAAACCAAGCCAGTGACTCTTACTTCTTGTTCTCTCCATAAAAAATATCTGTGAACATACTGTCAACTTAATATATGATATAAATATGTTATATTTGATATACGATATTTGCTTTTTATGGCTATTACTCTTAATCGGGCAGTATAGAAAGATTTTTACAAAGGTTGGCGATAAAGTTCATATTGTCTACATCCAGTCATCTTGAGGCCATGCCACATAGTAAAAGTTACAACCGCAGGTGCGTTGTGATCTGCGAAAATGTCTACGATATTTTTGTGATTTGTACGTGGCAATTTTGGCTTTATCAATGGTCAAAAGGCAAAAGCAGTGGGAATGGAAGGCAGCAGTTTGTGAATCGCATTGGTACTCATCAAAAACAATCGCCAGCATAGTCGTATAAAAGTCTTTCTAAGAGCGTGACCTATTAGACATCAGCAGAATTACGTTTTATAAGAATTTTCGGACATTTGGATATTTGAACAGTTTGGCCAGCAGCTCATAAATATACTCGCAGCAGTCACATCGGCCTACTTGTTTCTCTTCTTTTCGTAACTTATTCTGGTAAGATCAGGCAAAGTAAGGGTTGGCAGATACTGACTACCGAGTCTATGCCTCTCTTCTGTGAAACTACCAATGCAGAGAAATCAAAAATATCTTTCAGGAGGAGGACAATTTGTCATTTTGAGAAGATTACAGACGGGATCAATAAGGTATAAAAGTGAACTTAAGTCTTAACAAAAAATGCAAAGCTCTGGTGTTCAACCAAGCAAGCCAAACGTCGTGCCGAATAACAGATAAATAGAATTTTGCGACAGTTTAGAGGATTGGTCTGTGCTGATGATGTAGGAAAGTGTGAGTAGGGGGAATTGCGAGGACAGTGCTGATAAGGAGAGCAAATTTAAGGGCTCATACCGATATTGGACCTAATTGCACCAAATAGAATCCAAAATTTTATAACCACTCAGTTAGTCTGGTTTGGACCGTAACGGCCCGTTTGACTCCTTTATGTGACACATTGAAGGACGAAACTATTTCCTAATAAAAACATATTTTACATATTTTACCTGCGGTAGTGACTCCTTAGCGCTGCTGGATAATTTGATTATTCATATAATTACGTAACAACATGCGTTGATACGTCATTAGGAACTTGGGAAAACGAACGCTGTGCCATCAACGATGGCAGGCGTACCATCAGAACATATTAGCATTCCATGTAAAATCCTCTGTATCGTCTGCAAAACCTATTGCGTTCAATGCCTGTACGTGAAGTAAGTTGAAATAACGGTGAGAATAAGTCCCAACTGGGAATAAATATATAAAGTCCGAAAAGGACCGGTGTGAGCACAATGCTTTTCGCAGTCAGCACCTTTTCTAATTCCGATGCTTCTCCTATTAGCTTATCTGCAGCTGTGTATACACTGCCGGGGAACCGAGCTACTTTTGAAAATTCGCCGACGACTGCACCGGCCAATTTTGGCAACTTGGTGGGCATTGGACATGATCCAGCGGCCGTCCTCCGACGTCGGCCACCTGCAGCAGGACAATGAACTCGTTCAAACAAAGCGCTTTGTCAGAGACGTGTTTGTATGTGCCGACCTGGGCAATATCCCAGGCGCTAACACGCGATTGGGGCAACCGACGACTGAGGTTAGCGCCTGCGCATGCACGGTCGACGCTGATGGAGTACTGAAAAGATATTGTTTTTTGGTAAAATTTGATACCGAAAAAGGATGTTTGGCTGGTCGGGGAGAAGGGATTCTGCGAGTAGCAAATTACAAATCGGAAGTGACTAACTACAACGGCGACAGAGCCGACTTTGCGAACTAGGCTAAGTGAGAAGATAGATGGAATATGGTTTTACGTCGATCATACAGTCAAAACCTTTTTCAATAAATAGTTTTTCGGATATTTTTAGTTCTTCCACCTTTGAGTAAATACACTTTCAATGTATGAGTTGAAATTCTATGTCCTGATCCTTTCACCTACCATAGGAGGTATGAAAATATTTCGAAAATATTAGTAACTTTTAAATGGATAGTGCTGTTGACATAAGTGCCCATCAACTCGACTTATCAGAATCTCTCACGAAACAGAGTAATCTGGATGTTTAACGTATCCATCTTTATTGTTGGGGATCGCATTTTACTGGGTTATTTCCAGAAATTAGATGGATGAAAGATTCGAATTGCAAATTACTGATTTGACTATCCGCCCACGGCACGGTGGACAGGGCAGCCTGTAAGACATATGTGACTCCTGTCTGTGGAAAATTAAGTTGTAAAATTCCTCTCGGGGTTCCCGCAATCCTTATCAGCAAATAAAACTAATAAGTTGTCATTTTGATTGGATACTCATTAGCATGTAATCTCAACCAGTCAATTATTTAAGTTATTTTCAAACTAAACGTTGCTTTTGCAGGCGTTGCAATTTGTAGAGAGCTTTCGATCGACCCAGTACAACAGAAGCAGCAGGAACTCATTAAATTTCGAAGGTCCCTGTGTGTATGTCATTCGCTTTGGGGGTAACTATCTCTTAAACATTATTTGGCAATCCATTAATAGTTCCGTTGATAAGGCGAAGATATTCGTCACCTATACGAGCTTTCCTTGGCCTCTGAGTGGCAGTTATGAAGATTATCTACGCATTTGCTGGAATTAATCCCGATTGAATGGATTGCGTGAAAGGGAAGATGGTGCCTTAAATATTCCAAGCAAAAAATAATTCTGATGCGGTTTAAATGCATTCATGTGTTATACAAAACGGTTGGTGGTTAAGTTAAGTGACATTTAAGAAGTCTGCAGTCAGACCAGTTAAACAATTGAGACAGTTTCGGTAACAGATTTGGCATTGGTTAGGACTGTAATGCAGGCAGTTCTGGAGTATTCGTTCACCTAAATTCGCAAATTCGCGAATACTTCCTGCGATTAATGCCAGTGGGATCTTCGTGTTCATTGAAAAAAATCGAAAAATATATTATTTTAAGAGGGATCCTTGTATGGAGCGCTGTGCAGGCCGTGATTAGGGGCTTTCGTTTTCATAACCGTTTACCAGGCCGCATACAGTACCCGCTTCCGCGACTGGAGTATCATATACTTAAAAGTGACAACAAACAATCAGAAAGACGTTATGGACACTACGCGAGCAGTTTCGAGGCGTCTCACTTAAACGACAGTCCTTGCTGTCGCCTTCCCAGTTGGCTAAGACGGACATCAGGACCCAGTCTAGTCAGTGGGTCATTTGAGTGTAGTCCCCCTTCCGCCTCTCAAGCCCCTCGCAAAAGGATCATAACTTTTGGCCAGCAAAGGCTGTTTTCGTGGCCTCGCAATGGTGGGAGGCCGATAAAAGATAGCGCAGGGCGAGAACCTGTGGAACCGCGGTGGCTTTTGGGCTATTCGGCGACCGATCGGGGGCGGGGGAGAGATGGCAACTGCTAAAAGACAAATGCCCGCATGCCTGCTCGCGGTGGTAGCGCGCACGAGCGCAAAGTCGTAAAGTTGGCCGAGTGCTGAGGGCCTACAACGCCGAGAGGGCATGCAGTCTCGGCTGGCCGGCAGCGATGAGCAAGTGTCCAGAGGTTATCCTAATTTTTAAAGCAGCTTGAAAAAATTTATGCGGAAGAATTAAAAGCATGCCAAAGTAGGTGCCGAGTGTGTGTGTGCGCGCGCGCGTGTGACAGACCTCTTTGTCTCTTCCAAGTGTGTGCACCAAACACCAGCAGGCTTGTTGGAATAGTCAGTGAACTATTTGTCCTTTGGTATGCTTTTGTTTGGCAACGCTATTGGAATAAGTCTTGATTAGGTTAACAGCATATGTTGAGACACATTAGACTTCGACAGTAAGTGAGTAGCTAGTATTCCTACAGAAAATGATTGGTCCAACAAGTTTGCAAAGAAGACATTCGTGACTAGAGTCACGTGTGGAGGTATGCTAGTTTTGGGGGGAATCTCGCCGGCTGTTCCTTCGGATAAATGCTGCCGCTTTTGTCCTGTGCATTTTTGGCGCTGACTTCCGATGACGTATCAATATAACCAGGTCTTGCTCAAAAACTGCACAAATCACTTTGGATGTTCATGGTCTGGGACCATAAACCTTGTTTTGTAGCTTAAACCTGTCAGCATTAGACACTTTAGTTCTTTTACTTACTTCTTATGAGAATGTTTTAAAGGCTTGAAAACTATTCATGGAGCCGAATAGCGTAAGATTTGTTAAAATTTATCATGAATTATAAAAGTGGTTTGCATTTGCTAAGTTAAGCGCAACATTTCTAAGCATACAGACTTTTCTGAAATTATAAATCAAGTAAAGATGTCAGTAATGCTTTAAAATATACAAGGATCAGTAAAATCCTAAAGTGGACATGTTTATTCTTTTCTAAATAATAGGTTTAATCAGTGAGGGAATATGAGTAAAATTATGACATTGTCTTGCGCATGCTTTACATATCAAAAGGCATTGCTCACCAGGACATCGAATGTCGACGAAAAGTACCATACACAATCTAAGAAACATTTTATCGACTTAAAATTTTCATGGGTGGAAAAAGGAGTTCAGTCAAACTTCACCATGCACACATACAGAATAGACTCGGAAATGCCACTCCTGTTTGGCGATTCTGCAACTTAGTGTGATCGCTGTTCTGCATAAAAATTTAAAACTGATCATGATCGTCAACATTTCATACGTTTCGTCGTATAACGTGCTTGATTAAAGATTGCGTGTGACACAATAAATCACCTAAAGCAAATTACAAGCGTACTAATCTGTCGAAAGCGAAGTGCTCACAGCAGTTTCAGATCAGGCTGTGGCACGGTGCGCGCCTGATCCGAAAGCGGCTTTCTGTGAAATTAATTTTTCCATGGTGCGCAATAAAACCGTAGGATGGACTAGACTGAGCTTCGACCGCTTAGACATACGGATATGTAAAATCATGCACTGGACAGGCTATTCGAATTGTTAAGTCGGCTGGACTCGACTGATAACGTAGGCGGAATAGGTAAATCAGATATATTTAAAATACGGTGAAAAACTGGTATGCGATTGTTGAAGTCTTTGTTTAACCCTTTTTTATACAAAAGGGTCTGAGATATATAAAATTGAGGGAGTAGACGGAAATTTGTACCACTTAAATATGGAAGACGACTTGAAATCAACCCTTAATATCGGCACGTAATTTTATTTAAAGGAAAGAAACCGTCCTTACTTTGACTCTTTTGTGAACTCAGAATTAAAAAGACGCTTTGCAACTGCATATTCATAGTATGGTCGTTATAACAAACAGTTACTGTACAAGAGTAAGCTATTTGCTCGTTTTACACCCTATTAGTAAAGTTTGCGGATTTATCATGCATAAAAAAGCAAAAGGACATTTTTTAGTTACTCTAGCTGCGTTATTCACATAGCCAGTTTTTACAAGGGCAATGATTATTGCAAACTTGACATATCTTACAGGGGTCATTTCATTTTCCGTTGTGAACATTGTCACGATTTCTTGCATGAAGCGAAATCAAAAATACTAAACTAGACTGGACGTTTTATAGAAGAATCCTTAGAAGTTTGTTTTGCGCAGTTTTCGGCGTCACACGATTTTCACTACCATTTTTAGCCCGAAAGGCATTGTTTTTGGATAATTCAGGACCTTCGAAACTGTGACGGTGGCTAACATTTTTAAATCAGACAAACTTGTAACAACCCCAGAGTAGGTGATTGTAATCCCACCTACTACCTCTGAGCACTTCACACTCAAACAAGTGGTGAACGATTTTATAAGAAAGATAAAGTGAAATCCATCATCAGAGAGGTTACGATGACTGAGAGTGAATTATTTTTTGTGAAACAAATCCATTTGCCGCCTATGGTTTACTGTAGCATTTTGATCACGCAGTATTTTTTGCCTACATACTAAAAACCCGCTATAAGCGTAATTGCCAAAACCGAATTATGGAAATTACATTTTTTTGCCCTTTGTGGTATCCCGGGCAGACAGTTTATTAGATTAGTGCCGTTCACTATTTATGGCAGAGTAAATTTGCATAGATATGACAGGGGCAGGCATAAGAATGACAAGCCTACCCACTGTGGCTGGTCTTGGCCTTTCTAATTTTCTAAACTATCTGCCAGCTCTGCGCCAAGCTATACAAGATGCTATTTGGCGAAATTGGGGAAAATTATCGCAAGACGAAGTTCTTTACTTCCTATCTGGTAAATAGCCCTAATCGAGGCAAATTGCAGTGGGAAAAATTGCGATGTTTACAGCACACATAAAAAACACAGGAACATATTTTGTGAGTTCCGAAGGCGATTAGTGCTGAATAGGCCTGCGCATCCTGCCTAAGCCGCCAGAAAATACAGCAAGTTTGCTTGCCACTGAATGGAAATTCGCACGATTTGTGGTTCGCTGCAATTAGCGAATGAAAGGCCATAGACTTTTTGCGATCCGTTGTCTGGATTGAAAAAGTGGGAACTGCAAGTCTTCCAAGGGTAAATACTGTAAACTAGTGACTAATAATATGTAACACTGTGTCAACTTTACTCTATAAAAGGATGGAAAATGCAAAATAGTCATTTATTTTTTACCCGTTTTTTTCAGCCAGCCAAAAAATACCAAGTAAATATAATCCGTGACTCAAACCACAAGTACTTGCTGTGTGAAGAAGTGTGGTCTAAAGTTCTCACCATAGTCACATGAGCTCAAGATCCGTCAGATGAAAGCATAGGTATTTACTCTGAAGGTTATTGTCTTTAGCTGCTGATCAAGAGATGATTTGTAGCCCTGCCATACCGTTTATGAGCTAATGCTATGTAGTATGTTTCTCGTCTTGAGACGCATAAGCTACGTTTCTTAAATTTTGTTATGGGTTCGTCAAGCTGACGAGTGCTCTTTTAAAGCGGTGTGTCGTATAACAATTATGCTATTATTTTCCATCATGTGTATTAATTTGGAAATACAACCGACCGCTCTTCTTCAATTAGGGGTGAGTTTGCAGTATATGTTCGTCAAGGCTTTCTTTCTTTTCTTGGAAACATTTCTACTGAGTCCGCATATATTTCGAATAATCTTGCGGTTTGAAGTAAGAGGAAGAAAAATTTGCCTTAAAGCCAGCAAATGGTTCGCCACTGGGAAAACAGAGTAGCTGATTACAACAAAAAATAACAGAAGAACGACAGTGAAGTGGAAGTATATCCGTCTATCTGACAAAACGGTTTCCTGAAAAGCGGGGACTGTACAGTGTAGAGACATGCTTTAAACTCCGACTCTTCTGACTTTAATTTGCATGAAACCACATATGTCTCAAAATTAGATCAGAAACCTTCTTTTGTATGCATTCTAAAGTCCTTAATTAGCAACTACCAATGAAGCGGTTAGAATATTTTATACAATTTGTTCAATAAATTCCGACGGTTTTTAATTCCTCGCCGATTAGGCGAATGATAAAGAAGTTTTTCCTCAGTCTGTTTGCAGAATTGAATTCTTTATTAGGCATTTAACGTATGTCTAAATTGCCTACTGGACGAACATCGTACTGGGTACTCCACAAATAAGCTGAATGTGTTGGTTGCAAGTACGAGCAGTAGTCTTTACCACGCGACCCCTCCTCCCGCATCGGTTGGAGCCTTCAAACTCTCATCCTCCAGGGAAACGACCTGCTCATTGAATCTGTCGCAGAAGCTGTAACGCTTGACTTCCGGCGTGCAAGTTTTACCCCCTGCATGAACTGTGACTAGCGATTTGGAAAATCGCTCGTGCATCTTTGGTTTCGAAGTTTGCGGTGCTAGCCAACACATCTTTAAAATGCATGCTTTTGCAGCTTTACGACTGTTTTTTAATTTCACATTTCATATATGAGTTAAAAAAGTAAAAATATTAAGATCGTCATTGAAAGCTAACCATTGAAAAATGCTTTCTCTTTCAATTTGTGAACAGGCTTAGAGCCATTCTGCACAGTCAGTATACTGGACACCCATCCCGCTACATTCAACGAAGACAGTCACACTTTTCCACGAGCAGTTGCGTGGTAGGATAGCTGTTCGCGGTAATGGCTCTAGTAAAAGACAAAGTCAAATCTCGACCAGAGTCTGTGGAAAGTACGAGTATAGCTGTGAACACTAACTTAAATACAACAGAAAATGATGGAGTGTCTTTTTAAGGACTTCTTATGTCTACTACCTTTTCGTGGTTATGAGACGCAGGTAAAGTGCTGTCAACTTCTAAATTATGATTTTTGGACTTTTCAGAAAAAAAACTAATTTCGAAGGCTTCAGATGTTCAAAAGGCACTTCTTATGGGCATTAACGTTCATATTGTGACTCATTTATCTAAAAAATACACGACGAACTGTTGTTTGTCAAAAATCAAGCAATTATACCGTAAACATTCTCGAAAAAGGTCAGTTTTGATTCTGAATTAGAGAAACCTGCCATTGCTATCACAAACTTTACTGAAAACAGTGAGATCCCTTATATTTTACGCAACTAACTGTCTGGGAATTCGTGCCGTGACTTAACAATTCTCCTTTTATGAAAACAAATCATGACCAGAGGGACGTGGTCTTTCGCCTCCGACTGCCAATATTCATGAGGCGTATATAAGCAAAGTCCGCTTACTGGGAAAACTCTACTGCTGAACACCATATCGGTAGTATTGCAAACGCGATTCCCATATGGCATGTCAAATGAGGAAGTGATATTCGCCAAGAGCGGCCATGCACTTGGTGCGTGCTTGTTGCATTGTCGGTCGTGGGGCCAAATGGGTCCGAAATCCAACGTGACCCACTTGGACCCCACTTTCGCACGGTCAACTGATGCTCAAGCAATCGATGTCGTAGTCATCGGTTGGCATCTCCAATGTAGCTGGACCTGAAGTCGGGGATCGCAATCCCTGTCGTGCAGATGGGGCACATCTTCCACTGTGACGCCGCTGAAATGTGAGGTGAGGCGTTGGGCAAACTTCAAGGTAAGTACGAGAATACTAGACGTCCATCAGCCGTCCAGACAATGACTGGATAATGTTGCCTGCGCCCTATCTGGTTTTACGAACCTTCCTGACAGGAGACAGTCGCGACCTGAAGCAGTGTATGTCGCCAATTATCTCTGCAAGGGCGGGGCGACACTGGTCCCTAACCCATCGTCGGAATTGGTGGGCTATGCATTAAGCAAAGTGTGCCGCAAAATGACTTTCCAGTCCCTGAAGACGAGCAGGCAAAATCGTCATTCGAGAAGTCGGACCCGAAAATAAGCCACTGTTGGTGAATGTCTCTTCTTCTCAACGGTGACCGGTCGTATGATATGTTAACCGGCATTCCATAATGCGTTTTAATTTAGGAAGGGTTACGTAAGCGAAGCTGTAATAATGATTATCCTACCGCATAATCCCATAATATTTCAGAAAAGTCGGAATGCCGACTTTTGAATGCACTTCTTCTCAGCCGATTGCAACTATTATCCTTGCCAAAAAGGATTATCAGAGTAGCGTGCATTTTTTCTAATGATTTTCGATGTCTTAAAAAATTCAATTATATTTTATAGAAAGCGTGCACATAAATATTCTTTCTTCTACTTCTTTAGTAGAAAATTACGTCTCCTTTAAACGTTTGCACTCGAGGAAACGATGGCTTTCGATTTTAAGAATTTTTCAAATTTCAGAAATACGTTGAACCTGATTTGCGTCCTGTTATATTTTCAAGTAAGAAAAGTCACGTCCTTTCTTCGAGTATATGATTTGAAGAACATGTGATTTGCTACGAAATGGATCTAAGGAAAAATAATTTTGCACATTTTCTCTATAAAATATCTTGAAAGTTACAGGGGCAGCAAAAGTCAATACAACTGATTTACACTTCATATGCAGTCCTTTTTGCCGAGGCTAGTATTTACAGTCGACCAAGTAGAAATGCATACAAAAGCCGGCATCCCTGTGTGTCTGATATATTATGGTGCTAATCCGAATGATAATCAGTATTATAATTCCACCTAAGCAATGCTTTCTAAATGCGAACGTCCTTCTGAATTCCGGTTAATATTTCAAAATCTCGGTAAGTGATTTGATTTGAACACACATGCTTTATGTTCATTTTATGTCCAGATTTAATGTCTGAAGGTTTTTAGGATCTATTTTAACTGTAGCAGATTTATTTTCATCAGCTAATACGCAGCCTGAACTTTAAGATACCGATCTTTCAGGCAGGCATAATGGCATGCATTTGCACGGTTTATAATTTGCTCTACCCACATGATCGAACAAGTCACCGCTGTCATCATCTTAATCCTTTCCATCTTAACGTTCATCGGTTTCATTTTGTTAATTACCCGCAGAAAACATGGATCACTTACGAGCCATTCACTGTCCCCTGCGTTGCCTGACCGCGGATAAAATGTCACACGGGTGCAGTCTGTCATACTCTCGAACGTTTGGGCAATCTACTGCTAACAATTATTCCCCAGGAAAGAGAAAGGACGATAGGAATATATATTGCTGGTTTATATGTGGCCGTCAATCAGACGACCCAGAGGCGCAGGCTGGAGGCCTGATAAAGGCGAATAGGCAAGAAATGTCTTTTCTATTCTATTTTGTCCCTCTCAATTACTCCGCCCTATTAGCCTGCGTGTGCTCTTTGAAATGTTCTTGGTAGCATGATTGTGAATTGATTCTTCCCCAACTGAGTGTGTCGTTGTGAGCACCGATCATGACAAGACCGTACTTTGGTGATCCTGGGCTGGTTTTTTATTCCCGAGGCAAAAACCTTGTCTAGAGATGTTAGAGTTGTTTGCCGATAACTTAAATCTAGAGGCGTTACAGAAACTCCACGGTAGTGCCTTACAAAGCACCTTAGTGGCTAGCACACATGCAGTGTTCTATAATCAATAATAGAGAGATGATTGGTGGTAGAGTAGAAATGTAATGACGCCGAAAATGTAGACATTAAACTGTCTATGCTTCGTCGTTTCCTGCCTGTTCTAATGTATTTATTTAAACCAATGTTTGCACAATTAAAAAAACAACAGCCCACGTTTTTTGGATTTCCGATAAACATAAGAGCATACTACGCAGCCAGACTACTATATTCATTTTTCGTAAAAGGAATCCTGCAGTGTTTCGATTGCCCAGTCTTAGATGTCTAAGTAATTAGTTATGTTTTGAAAATCGTTGAGGTTTTGCTTTAATTATATATCAGCAGGTCTTCAGTGTGCGTCCGATTCCACTATTTTGACAAGGTGATTTTTAAACAGAACTATGAACTTCGACATCTGCAGTCGATATGTAGATCTCTGCAGGTCATTTTTTGCAAATTAAATGTATCATTTGAACTCTATTGCGATCCAGTTTAAGAAAGAATCTTTGGTTGGCCGCTGAAAGTTACCTATCGTTATAGATTTCAATGCTCAGTCACCGAAGGTAACAAAGTGTGCTAGCCTTTCACGGCAAAACTCAAGTCTTCATTAGAGTCAGTTGTGTCATAAAAAAATTCACCCGAAATCTCTTTTTTCTTTATGCCTACGATTAATTTCTGAGGAAACTTATTATGATGCCGCCGGTGACTTCGTTGCGTTTGATGTTCAGGAGCGGCCTAAGCACTCACTGCGGGACATCTGTTGCAGTAATTGTTTCACTGGAACGCATGGCTACTGGAAACTTCGTCAGTTAGATACGAAGTTAGATAGCAGCAAAGCCAACAACAGAAACAAAAACTCGTGTGGAGACCGGCAAACAAAAGGATACCTGTAACAAGAGTGTTGGATTAGCAAAAAGATGGAATAAAGGTTTCGGCAGTGTCTAACTAACGAAAGCGGCCGGAGAATAGAAAGACTATAAGAGTAAGAAGGCAGGCGACATATCATGCACGAACTAGGACGCAAAACCTCATGATGGCAGCTGTGATCTGTTTGGCGGCTTCAGCAGTAATATGTAATCGTACTTGAAATAATAGTGTCCGCTGGACAATGGTAATAGACATTATACTAGCATTATTATTGTAGTCTCATTAGCATTAATTATAGCAGCAGTAACACTAGTATAACGATGGTCGGAACCAGATCTAAATTTGTAAATGGACTGATCAAAGGGAGGAGGAGGAGGAGGAGGAGGAGGAGGAGGAGGGGAAAGTGAGGAGGTAGTCATGTTTGTGTCAAAAATTCCGGACCTAATAAAAGCTTCGCCCACAAAGACACAGGAGAACTTGACGGCCATAATGCTCATTTCCGATTGCATTTCTAAAGACGAAAACGGCTATAATTGCTGGCTGTAATATCTGCCATCTAGAAACAAAAGATGCAATCAGCGACTCAGGAAGGTCCTGAAATCTAGTATCACTGTAAATCTCTCGCTTTACTGTCCAGCCGCTAGTGGATCGTATGTTAGGAAGCCTTATGGCCGAAGGGAATGTTAGCCCCCACAACTTCGTCAAATCAACAAAATAACTAGGAGAGTAGTGCAGCATCTTCACGTATTCCGGCCTCCCACCACGACTTCTAACGGCGCCTCACTGCAAACAGGTGAGCCATGCGTCGCCGCCGCCGCCGCCGCCTCGGGGCGGACATGGGCCGATGTGCGTGCGTGGGGGGGGGGGTGGGCGAATGGGTGGGTGAGTGCAGGAAAGGATGCAGCAGGGGTGAGCGTGTGTGCGTGTCCGCGATGCCGAGATTTGCTCCTCCTGTCCTTTTGCTGCACACAGCCGGAAAGGCCTATGCAGCCTGCCTGGCAGAACGAAAGGGGGGGGGCGGGACAGGGAGGGGGGAGGCAGAAAGGAGAACACGGTCAGGCGGCACAATACTTTCATAATTCATTGTGTACTGACCTTTCATGATGTAGACGGCTGTCGCGGCACGCGCCCACATGCACATGCTAAGTCGATGGTCGAGCGCGCAGGTGTGCTTGTGTCTGTGTGTGTGTGCATGCGTTTGCACCCAAAACGGGCCACGCCGTAGATGCGCTGGACCAACACGGGGTCTAGGTGGGAGTCCGGCAGGCTTTATTGGGAATGCACCTCCACACCCAATGTCGACATTTCGAGGTGCGGTGGCACGCCCAGTTGCGGGCTCACGTCGCGCCAGATGGCATCAAAACCGTTCCCTTTTGCTGCCAAAAAATCCCGGTCACTATATGTTGTGGACCAGGTGGTGTGGTGGTACGCCTAGGTGCGGGTTTGCACCGTGCCAACCACCGGCGGCCTCCCCGATTCTGTCTGGACACCGGATCCAGGCGAGGGAAACGAAGGAGTGCGGTAGGCGCAAAGCAAGTGCAATATCACTATGAACTAATTAACGCGCAAGTCACCGTCCTCGGTCTAACCCTATTGCGGACCACACGGTGTAGTTCGTAGGTCACAACGGCAGAACTGTCGTGTGTGCGTGTCCATTAGGAGCATCGACGCCAAAGGCCTGCTGATGCAGCGCCTTGGAACTCAGTCTTCTCCCCCACTTCATCATAAATTCTTCGCTTCAGGAGCTTTAACCATTATGCACCTCCCTGCTGCGTAATCCTGCACCCCGTGCAAGGAAGCATTGATAGCGAATTAATAACTATAAGCCATAAATATGGTCTCCTTTTAAGGTTTCGCAGATGCAGACTCGACCGTTGGGGTGGTTTCCATGGAATTCCGACAGAGCCGTATGCGGTAAACCATCGCTAATGCTGAAAATATGCTAGTTCGCACGACCTATTCCCTGATTTAGCACCCCAATAAAACGCAAAGCGTCTGTCAGACACTGAACGAAATATTATGGTACGGAGACAAACTGAGGATTTCCTTACTTTAGTTCTTAAAAAAGGAATTATCGGGAAAAATATTGCGAGGGACGGATGTACATGGCAGAATGCCGATGTCTTGACGAGAATTTCTTCTGTTATCCGCGCAAGCTACACATAGAATACATTCCTAGTCTACGTATCATGTCCCTTTTCTGTGATTAACGACGCCTGAATGAATTTACTCATCCGTCACATTGCTCAACTCTGTCTCATTTTCGGAAAACTAAGGTTAATATTTCCAGTTTCAAAGATGTAAATAACTTTTATCGACGATTTATCAATACATCTATGCCTTACAACAAACGTGCATCTACAGCTAATCCCGAGGTTTCCAAACTACGCTTCCTGCAATTAAGTTAAGGTAAAGTTGCATAATTCTACATATTCCTGTACAGAAACCGTCCATAATTGATTGATCAGGACTAAAGATATGTATCTATTTGTATACCTTACTGGCATAATTCACAAATCTGACAAAGCAAGACGGTACAACTGTTCTTCAGGCACCTTAAGCATTGTTACTGCGATTTATCTATTTACCGATCAAAGTGCATCCCTCTTTAAGCACATTAAGGGCGGAAACTAAAAAAATCTAAAATTCTAATTTACAAATTCTAAAAATTTAAAAAATTAAACTAGAGCGTAAATTCTGACTATTTAATAAAGCATAACTGGGTGTCTATGAGGCTCCTAAACTAATAAACAAGATGAAAGCGGTTTAGTTGGAGGCTAATTCCAAATCCAGGTTGCGACCATGCAGGACTTTTCATTCTAATTATATTCTCCGACAATTGCTTTTTCAATTAAACCTGGGTGATTTTTTTCTATTTTTAGGTATTCCGACAGTTTTTCGTTAATCTTTTATGAGTCTTGGTGTGTGCTTTTCTATGCGCATATGCATCTAGGGAAAATCAACACTGGGACTTCAGCAAATCTTCCATCCTCCGCTACGGAACACTATTCCCTGACGGTTACGAGGATTCTAAAGAACATTGCTTACATGCACGAAGATGACCCAAGGAAGCCTCCTGACCCCTGTCTTTTCAACGCCCTCAAAAGTAGAGTTTGACGCTGACTTGTCTTTTTCTGGGAAGCGTCAGTAACAGCTGTATATAAGGTTGGAAGAAGTGCAGAAATACTGATCTTCCAGTTGCAGAATACTTGATCCATTTTAATTCAGTACGGTCGACAAGCGAAACTAGACGCCGGAAACAGAAGTGTACCAGAACAGTATATTCAGGATGTCGTTTTTAGTCTGATGCAGCCCGAGTTGCCTTCCTCTGCATTTAAACTTACACTCGACCCAGGCCGGACAAAGGCTCCTGGCCGTAGTGTTTTTACTTAAGCAAACAATTAAATGTGAATCTGTGGTCGGCTCAGGAGCAAAACAATTTAAGCAGAACATTTTAGCCTGTAGTGAACGTATGACATACGATTTTGTTCGAAATACTTAATAGCATTCCAAAAGATCTCAAACATTTGCACCGACCGTCGAATGCGTTAAATGAAAATTAAAGTGAAAATTTTGCCCGCTTTCAAGCAGAAAGTGTTACTCAAGTCGAGCTTTCGAGGATGGCAGAAGCAAACACGGCCACAAGTTGATCGTTACAGGAAACTATTCTAGCTTTTGAATAGGCGTCTCTTAAACTGTGAGGGCACATTAGTATTAAAAAATTACTGCATAAGTATTGCGCACATTTGCTCTAATCTTTCTCGCCTGCTAAGGAGCTAGTTAAACTTCTGGCAATATTTTACGACATACAAGCACTAGTAAACGTTACAACGTCTATCCTTCATCGTGCACATTTTTGTTAACATACTTCTTAATAAACTGAGTATGACAAAGGGCATTCTAAACTTATTCTTACTATAGAAACTAAATGACTGAGTGAGGACAGAAAAAAGTAAAGAAAAGATTAGTGACGTAAATAAGAATTCTCGCAGCATGAGGTTTATGCTAATGGTTGGAAAGATCCTCTCTCCAAAGCCAGAATACTTGTATGCGGTAACCCGGCTGAAAGCATGTGCCGTAATAAGCGCTTCATTAAAACTCATGTGAATAACCTTTCCCGCTAGAAAACATATAGTGTGAAGTCTGTCGATTTTGGATGTACTGATATAGAGCACTGTATAAAGTTATAAGTCCCATAATTCACCCTCTTAAGAAATAAGTCGCGGTCGAAATATCAACTTTTTCAAGAAACCATATCGCTTAAAACTACTGACTTTTATTTCACGGTACGTGTCTCCATCTTCAAAAAGTTTTTGATAAACGAATTAAAATTTGTGACTTCAGAGTATATAGCCGTTCACTGGGTCCCCTAATAATGCATAGCTCTCGTCAAGCTGTTGTCCAGTTATTTTATCAAGCATGGGTATCAACGATGAATTTTATTGGTCAAGTTGCCGCGCACTGTCGCTAGCTTTGTTTAATTCTTTTAAATAGAAGGAAAATTATGGACCGCAAAGAATGCAGCTATTATTCTGGTAGTATATGAAGAGGTAGTATAGATGGGAAAACAAGGAGAACTGGATCTGCCAGATTTAATGCTGATTTGTTTAAAGAACGGGCTGCTTATTTAGATTAGTAGCAGAGAAAATTAAATACGATTTTCTATTAAGGTCAGAGGAAACCGATTTTTCTTTTGGCCAACTTATGCTCATGCAAGCAGTTTACCAATCCCAGTGATGTGCAAAAAGTCAGGATTCAAGCTCTGTGAAGTATAGTTGGTAATAATGCTAGCCGTATAAAAATTGATAGCATTTGCACAGTCTAATTTTGTTTTAAAAAACGGACAGATCATTCTTGCCTTTCTGTCCCTCGCTACGGTTCCCAAAAACGGCCCTAGGCAGTTTGAGGTGACATCTAGTGATTTCGAGTGATCCCAGAATACACTTTCACTCCCTTCATTAGCGGCGAGGCCAGATTGCTGCGCGCGTCTCACATACAACATTTGATTTTACATATATTACTGCCATCTCGACTAATCAGCTAGTAACAGTGGTTGCAGTGGAAAATATAACCAACTTGGAATTAATTGACATACCAGTATTTTGATCTGAGGATAGATCGTGTGAAATCTCTTATTACTGGTCCTCCTCAGTTATACCACTGTTCATTATGCCACAACTTGTGAGCGATCGACTGGCGATCGACTGTCATGCAATGTTACAGTCTGTACCAGTCCCTTTAGCTATACCGGACAACGGCGTAATTTTCATGGAAATCAATAAGGCGGCTTTGATAAAAGTAGGTTTGTCCGTTAAGCACCCGATATTCATTCCCTTTCTGTGTTGAGTGTTAAGTTAGACACGTTCTATCTTTATGGTTTACCCCCGAGGGATTGTTTTTGAGACAGGATTGTACTGTGTCAAACTATCATTGACGTCTGCATCCTGTTGTGTCAGTTACTTGCTACTGACAACGTTCCGGTAATCGGAAAACCGTCAACGTGACTAGCATAAATAAAATCATTGAAAAAATCCGTTTTGCAATCCGCCCAAATTGGAATCTTCATCCGCATCCCGAGTCCTCAGTCATCGGTCTGCCGGCGAAAATGTTATACCTAGACACGAGGTTGCATGATTGGCAAATACCGGGAGGTATTTATTTCTCCTAGTTAAAATCTATACTAGTACAAATGTCTGTCCTATTAATGCAGTTATTACACTTACCTAAAATAGTTGCTAAAGGTTTTTACATGTGGAAGTTTGCTTCTTTAAAAACTTCAGTTTTCAGTTTATTTTCCAAACCTCAGCAGGGGAAAATAAACGTGACACCGAGGATGTCAATGCGTTAAGGACGATCTAGTTTTTTTTAATCATACCAGGTTAATAAATACCATCTATGATGCTGGCACCAATTTCTATAAAATGTTCGATTTCATTCCTTCCACCGTCGTTTCACAATTATTCAGAATAGGTCTTTTCAAAAATGCATGTTTATTCATAAGTGCGAAAAATTAAATACAGTCATGAGCACAAATGTAAATGAACACTATCTTTTCAACAAACTTGCATTCTTTTGTCTCTTTAACTAGTTAAATTTACAGATGTTTGAAATGTTAGGTGAAACAACGTGTGCCGCCATGGCTAGACCGAAAACGGCTGTCAGAAACAACGTCGAAAAGGAAGCGCTTTATGCACGACTCATACTGGTGATTCAACCTAATTCTCAGACACTTTTTTCAATCAGCATGATTGGTTGGTATCTAACAGGTCCTTAACTGAAAGTTGTAAAACGGGCTGCAGGGAACGACCACCAAGCTTTCTTATCCTCAAAGTTCTGAAAGAACGAACACTCAAAATTAGTGTCAGCACTTGCAGGAGAATACGCCTATTCTCCCGTGACTGCCCACGAAAAGAAAAACAAACTACTCAAGTGGGCTTTCCCATGGGATCTGGATGGCGTTTATACAAGTTAGTGGGAGAGCAGGTCTAGCGTTCAACTGTTGGCACAGAAAGTTGCAGCCATAAGTGCAGTGCTTGATTTTGCTGTTGTTGGTATCTTGAAATCTAGAGTTAACCGAAAACGGAATGTCCCAGAGGCAGCAGTCTTGAGAATGAATCTGTTATGGAATTCAGCAGGCAGGCATGCTGCTAGCCAGAGACGATCGGCACGTTCTGATTTAGTTCGGGCGCCAAGATCTGTAATTGGTCCTTTGTTCGCGCGCCAGGTAGGGCACACGTACGGCGTCAACCACCGCCCCTAGGAGGCAGATAATGCACATGTCTGTCATGGTTACGACTCCTCCACCCCTCCCCCCTTCCCACCCTTCTCTGTTGGTTGGTGTAACCTTCGTCCTGAAAGCCTAGCGTTATTTGTTTTATTCAAACTTACTTTGCCCCATTTCGTCACATAGGGCAAGATGGCTGGCTCAACGTGTGAAACCCGTTATAGTATCTGCATCGGGTGTGTGCGTGACAGTAATTCAAACATATCACGACTACGCCTCCACGTTTGAGGTTTCTCCGCAGGACAAATCTACGCCATTTGCATAGTAGTTTTCCACAAGGCCATATTACCCAGATAATCTTGACAGGTCCTTGTCAGGACTAATGTTTATGCTCAGCCTAAAAGTCTTACCATAGACTTCTCGAAAATTGCTTTTGCATCTAAGGTGATTTGTCTGCGGAGGGGATTTTCATGGTCTCCCCTGATATTGATCTTGTGTAGAAGCACGAACAAGGAAGTGACAAACATGTATGAGACTTTGCCCGGATGAATACATTTTGCAGCACTTGGAGAAGTAAACAGAAGCGGGCGGTTCACGTTAGGATCAGATAAACAGTGTTGCGGTCGCACACACACATGATACTGCAGTAATCATTTCCAGCAAGTTCGCTCTTTGCGAAGTTGTTTACTCAGTTTCAATGGAATGAATGAGCCTATGAGGCAAGCTCAACCGGAGAGGTTCCAACCTGTCACGCTTTTATTCACTTCAAATAAAAGCACTCCGAAAGTTATGGTACGTCCTTCTGAAAATTTCGACGCTATCTGTCCATGGTGCGCGGAAATTTAAAGCATGCCGAGAACGCAAACCGCTAAGTCTGTGCCCCAAGGAGTAAGGCGCTGGTCATAGAGAACGTTTGAAAGGACGGTCGTTGAACTTTGTTAATCTTATGAACGTAATTTTATGAGGCGTGAGATGTGCGCAAAACGCAAGGACAATGCATTGTAAAAGCAACTGCAAGAAGTTACAAAATCAGTCACCGATTCACCTCGGCCTAAATGAAATGTTTTAGCATAACTTCCTGAACGAGGGGCTGACGACTTAAATAACTGCTCCTTAAATGACTATAGTCCTACAGTAGTAAATCGTTTCTGCAGAGGCTTGAAAGCTCTCTCCCATTTGATGGGGGTGAAAAGGAAGGCTTTTAGATTTTTCACTAGCATTTATCGGTATCCCAAAAAAGATATAGCAGGGATGAAATTGCTTTCCCCTACCAAATGCACTTATTTCACTCCTCAATTCCACATAAGTCAGTCCGGTAAACACCTCACCGCGCTAGTTTGAAATAGATGGAAAAAGGGTGATGAAGAGTACGAGCGGTTTAAAAGCATTAGCTGGCAAATTAATTTGTTTAATTGGAAAGGCCTACAAGTTGATAACGTAAAAGGAGGTTTTTTATTTTCAACGTAAACTAGCTCCGGTTGGACCGAATTAATTAAGACCTCCATAAACAGAAGCGCGATCACACACACATGAATGCATCTTTATCGCAGGATTTCCATCCCTTGTGAAGATTTTTGAATTGGTTTGATGCAGGAGTGGAAAGGAAAACAAATTACCCGCCAATAAAAGGTGACTATTGCTTAAGATTAATTCAGGAAAGTGGAATTCCCCCTCGTCGAGGGCCCTTTTATAGGATTAGGTCACTTAGCCCTAAGTAAATTCTCCGAGTGTCAAAAGTACTCTGGGGGACTGGAGAGCAAATACGTTGCTAATACGTGCTAACACCTGGGGAGGTGATTTTCTGCTTAGTTAGTGCACGCAAATTACTTAAAACGTGACGTGCATCTTCAAGTAGCAAGTTAATAAAATGATGATATAGTACAGAGATATGCAAATGTATCATCTAATTTCTCGTGGAATTCTTCGTATTCGTACAGAATATAACGCTGGCTGATATCAACAAGGATGACACTGTGAGAGGACTGTTACGACCGGTCAGCAAACTGAATCTCAAATCCGGTAGTGAATATGAGGACCCAGAGAGTCGACGGTGATTTTCAGTCCCCTTTTCCGCCCCGATATTCCTCCCAAATATCTGCTACTGCTCGGCCTACCTGGAGTAGTTTTCATGTTAGAATTTGGCTATTTCGTTTATTGCTTGCGCCTATCACTATGCGACGGCCTGAGAGGGTCTTGTCCGCGAACTTTCGATGACACAAAATGCCCGCATTCCATACTTTCAATGAGACTGAAGTGAAGCACGCCCCTTCCGAGCGCATTCGACTACACCTGATCGTCAGTGAAACAAAAACGCACACTCGTGATCCAGGGATAATGTTAAATTATGAAACAGTTAAGCCCGGGCTATGACAGACTAATTATAGCAATTGAGTCAACAGCGGTTGTCGATAAACTGTTGGTGCGTCGATGGACCAATTCGTTGCAGCCTGTACGCATTTTCAACGTAGTCTTATTCCTATCTCAAGCCGCCATGCTCATGGCCGCATGATTCACGTTATGGAAGTAATATGGTCAAAAGACGCCGTCTGTTACGTTGCCCATCTTAAGCCTTGATGATTGACTTCTGTATGACTGCGTTAGATGTCGCCTTTTTGACTTTTTTTGCTCCTTTCGTGAAAAATTTCAGACTCAATAGAGCAAAAGTGGGGGGAAAAAGTCAGAAAAAATTGCCCCGTTTCCTCCAATTCCAACTTTTCGACTGGATCACGGAGTAGTCACATTTCTCGTCAAGAGTGTTATCACCTCCACCACGGTTTCCGATTACGTTCTGTTGTGGATGAAGACTTTCGCCTCTGCTTTACGCTCTTGCCCTTGAGGCGCACTGTGGCTCGATGTGACGGGATATGGGATGTGCAGATTTCATGCGAGTCGACAGAGAAGATCTGAGAAGAGTTCTATTTCGAGTTGGCTTTACCGACTTGAGGCAAGTCCATGGAAGAGGGGTTACAGTCAGGGTCTACACTTTTATTTTACACTTCGGATTTTGATTGAATCAGGTAGCGGAAACTTTTAAATGGAAGGTTCTAGTGTAAGCACGTAAAATTTCCTTATAGGAGAACTGCTTGTGAATGTTAGGCTCTTTAAAATTTGCGACGATATAACATTGTTCCATTTTAAGGCTCTAAGTCGACCTATAGTGGTGCTTTTAGGTAGGATGCAGGAACTTGTTTATAAGAACAAAGTAAAACGGGGGACACATCGGTGTATCAAAAGACTAAGGGCGCTTAGCCGGAATGAAAAGTCTCTGCCTGCTTTGAGTCCCGAAATGGAGTATGGCTCATTATTCATAGTTGTGCACCGATATATTTAGTGCTAATTTAGGTTCCTGTAGCTAACTTACAATGTTGAGCTCGGGCAGACAGTTATGCTAGTAACTTGGGTTTATTTATGCTTGCTCGTTCATCCAACTAAAAGATCATAATGTTTATATATTTATCTGATTTTTTTAATTTTTTGTCAGGAACAAAGCATATCCATGGAAAATAAGCTTTGGAAAAAAGGCAGAATTTGTTCTATAATTTGCTTATATTATCAGTCACTTTTGAGATTCAGAACTCGAGTTAGTATGTGTGATGCAACCAAAAGTATGGGGTATGTTTCTTCAGGATAATATTTAACTAGATTATATGACTCCCAAAACTGTCCCCAAAATGTCTATGCATCGGCTTAATTCAGAGCCCGGAAAACGTTCGGTCGGATGTCCTTACTAAGTTGAGGCAAGATCTTTCTATTCATCAGTCTGGTTTATTTCTGTCCTAGAATAAAACCGCTTTTAGTACTGCAAATTTGTTTTGACTTTGTCACCTGGTCGATGATTGATAATAAACCTTGCACATCACTGACAGTAACGATTTGGCTAGGACACACAAATGGAACCGCTCTTTTAATACAGACAGCACTTGACACCAACCCAATTCCGACCTTAACCCAAAACCCAACATCAGCACTAATATTTCTGGTATTTAGCGCGAGGCCACCTGTATTACCAGGGGTTCCCGTTTCCACGTCTTGCCACAACGTTTGAATAAGAAAATTAATAAAATTACAGATAGGTGGATGAGCGCTGGACCTCATCGCATCACTATTCTTTCGGGAGTTCACTCATTTTGACCTTAGTAAAACGGTTTGTTGTGAGGACATTTACGTTGGCCTTATGAACTTGAAGTCAGTTGGAGATTGCAACAATTAGTAAAACATAAATTTATTTCAACGTTTCGCCTTATCCTTGCCTTATATGGGCCAAAAAATGCGACAAGACTTAGGGGTTCTGAAATATGATGGTCAGAGCGTTAGGTTGGCCGAGATTCGATAACTGTCAAGAGACTCCAGAACAGTCCGAGGTGGGACATTCAGGCTTAACTGTGATTAGTTTGCGAATGCAGTTTATTTCGGTAAATTAACCCAAAGAGGATAACTTAGGAAGGCCTATTGGCCGCCAAAGGGATTTTATTCGCGTCATTTGGTGTCGGATCTATAGACAGACATAGTACCGAGATGGATTAAAAACTACTTAATATTGCCTCCATGTGTAATGGCATAGCCATAACTTGGTTACATGTTTTAACTTCATCAGCTAGAACTCTTACGCTCAGATATGGATATTTTCAGTTTGGACATCTTTCGTTAATCATTTCAGGTATAACATTCTTTTATGGAAGACTTCACAAAGACCACTACTAGAGTTCTCCTGGTTTTCTCCATGAAGTTCGTCTATTCTATCATATTTATTACTTTTCTATAAGTTGTGGAAAGTTTTCTTAGGTAACCTGTCAAATTTTTGCGGGTTTGATAAGCATTTAATAAATACTCCGTCTTTTCTGGTAATGGAATCAAAATACCAAGGACATTATTTTCCTTGAGGAATGCACGTAGTTGCACATTTGCACAGGAAAAACCATTATTTTGCCAGAGTAACTCTTTTGCCCTGAGACGGCGACAGGACTGCAAACCCACGAAACTTTAAGTGTTCAGTTATCAAGCCCAAGTTTTTTGGTCAGCGAGGCAGCACTCAACGGCAAGTAACATCCCATATATGCTGCTACGAGAACTTCCTAAAGGACGGGCAAAAATTATAAGTATTACGAGACATACTCCCCAGTAATTAGGCGTTCAAGCCCTCTCGATCAACGATTTCAATGCAAAACAGGTGACATTACTCATAAATTTAAAAACAACATGATGTTACAAAAGGTTATGAGTTTTATGAAAACGTGCGATCAAAATACAGATGATTAGGAGGGAGTGTATGGATTGCCGTCATTTTTAAACATTAGATTCATTTAAGGCTCAGTGACCTAGTTCGGAAAAAGAATTTATGTCAAGGATGTTTTATTGTAGATAAGTGTAATATTTGCGAGCTGCCCGCTAGTATCAAATGTAGTAGGTCAAGATCGTAAACTGAAACGTATTCAGCTCTGAAGACGTAATAATATATATGAAAAGAATAGGCACCAACTGTCTTTTAGAACTGCAAAAACCAGACCATGTGGCCCAAAATATAAGATGGGGACAGATGGGCCGATTAAATTCTCTTCAAAAAATGGGGAAAGGGTTCAACTTTAAAATAATGTTTTACATATCGGCGGCATTTTTGCTATAAAGCACAGGAGCAAAATCAGTAAAAAATAGCCTGCCCTACCTCACGAAAAAGAGCAATGTGTTAGTTGGATACGTGAAAAGCGCGCTTCGTTATAAAAGCATCGGCTTGACTAACGCAATTAAACTCGGAAACCTGTAAGGATAACGTTTATCTATATCGAAGCTTGTGACTGAAATTTAAACTCCAAGTACAACAGCAAATCTCTCTTCTCGTGGTCTTGGATTTTTTTATTCCAACTGGAAATGTTTTTGCGCCTATTTAGATAACAAGGCCCTAAGCATGGAATAAGATTTTAATACAGAAAGTTTCAAAGTAAGCTCAACAACTGAATATACTAGACCGCCATGGATGAATCGATCGGCTACGTAACTGACAGATGTATAAGTGGAGATCAAAAAACATCGGCACTTTATAGTCTTTATTATTTTTCACGGTTTATCTACACTGCAATATTTGATACCAAATAATTAAGCTACAATAAACACTTGCTTTTTTGTGGTTTTTGGTATAACCAGCCACTGATGTTCATTAAACTCACTGTGTTTTTCCCTTAAGACCGGCCGTCTATTTGATGTTATAAAACGTAAGGAGAGTTATACCGGTAGACAGAACTTCTTTCTCAATGTTCCGAACACTTCGTGGACAGATAACCCATCGTATAGAAGCATTTAACAATAGGCATAAACAGACAAGCTGGTTTTTCGAAATAAGGAACCCACCGAATAGCGATAGATGCTATTAAAAGGCAGTCGCGTATCATGCTCTAGTCATTGCAGAGTGATAGAGGCACCAAAGGACATGCGGGTAGATTGATAAAGAGCAATTTAGGTTCTTCGGGCCCTATTCAGCTACGCACAAGACCTAGAAGCATCTAGCCTAGAAACGTCAGCATGCTCGGACACAGCATTCAGATGATCACCAAAAATATTTGTCATACTGGTCAAAAGTTACACAGAAAAATAAAAGCAAAATCGCATACATAAACGTCCGAATCATTGACTTGGGAGACAGCCACGAGGCGCCGTCATAATGGAGCGACTTGACCACCGAATCTTTGATCGTCGCCTCGTAAGCATGGAACTGTTAAATTGACTACCCTCAGATTAGCGTCATTCCTGTGCGCTGCGCCATCTTCAATAAGGAAACACATGTCCCAAGAGCAACAGACTAAATTCGTTCACTGCATTTCGACGCACATAAGCTGAGTTCAGGTTAGTTCTCTGGGAAGACATCAAACACGATCCCTTGGGATGTCGTTGGGCATACAGTGGGTAAGATAAAAGTTGGCCTTACCAACGTGCCTGAATATCAGTCACTGGTGGAGGTTATCGTCAGTGAGAATTTGTGTCAAGCTGCATTCGACAGTTAGCAATATTTGTTTTGAAATAACTGTCAGCTTTTCTATTTCGCCCCGAGATCGTTGTACGCAACGTGTGAGCTCGGTGTATCGACTGTTTCTTGATTCATCCAACTGCATGACTTCAAGAAGTTGTCAGTTTTCTTTGAATGACAGGTAACACTAATAAGCGTCCTGTCCTGGCCGAAGGTGTCTTCTGCATTCGGTGTATACATGACTATTTGCAGCGGGTGGTTTTGCTCCTTGGTCGTCTTTTAGTGTTTTTTATGCGTGTGGGGCGGTTTTTTGTTTTGACCACAATAAACTTTATGGTAAACGCTGCATGACACTGTGTAGACGATCCCTTACTTACCTAACAAACCGACTCCTATTTTTTGATGATGCAACTTGGGCAAGTAGTAGAATTGATAGCAAGGAGGTTATAAACAAATTCATCATTTAACGATGGCAAAGTCTTCCCAGCGCATTCTGGCTTGTTTGGAGTCGCAAATGAACGGTCATTGTCCACGGAGAGAATGATGTTTTGTTAGTTTTCAGGGGCATTAGCACCTTCCTCTCTTCACCTGATTGTATCAGAAATTACTTTTCATATAAATAACCTTTTAATCTGTGGTATCACAAATATCTGTTGTCTAACACCTATTCTTCGTGGATCTTACTGAGAATATCTTGAATTACAAGCCTGTATAGAAATCTGAACAGTTCATGTCCGAAACCCTGTATCTCAACATTGCGGAAAGACAATTTATCTCATAAATTATTTGTTAGTCGCTGAAAACTAACAAAACATCATTCTCTCTGTGGACAGAAACCTTTCAGGAGCAATTCTCACACATTTGCAGAAATAAACAAGGGCCCAACTTAATTCTTACTGAGCGCATTCTAATTTTGAAGACGTTAGCCGACGTTACGGAAGCTGCATGCGTAGCTCAGCGCTTGCACAACAGTCCTGCAAACATACCAACGCGGTCTGTTTCAAACATACTTAGTTTGTTTAAGGCGATCACTGCTAACATCTTAGGCATAGCTGAATACAAAATCATCCTGCCTGCTTCGACGCAGGCAGCTCTTTCGTGGTGTCTTCATTTTTTCCTTTGTGGGGATATATACTCTCATAAAAATCGCAGGAAATGCTAACCAAAGTTCAAAGTTAACGAAAGCCAGAGAGTCATCCCAACTGGTTAGAAAGCTTGCTAAGTCCGCGATGTTGCGATCCATATTATCGAGTGGATATAAGACGCTGATGCTAAAGTATCGGTCGATTTATTCTGTCGCTAGGCTCCACCGGGCGTCCAGACCAGCGCTATTAACATTTGTCTAAATTTAAGAGCACGCCTAATCCCTGGCCTCTAAGCTTCGAGACAAATGTCTTTGTTGGCAGCAGATCCTAAATGCTTTAGTAGTGGGCTTCATATATTTTCGGCTGCAAGTGGCACAGCATTTCCCCTAAGGCCTTCCTTTCTGCATAACTAAATGTCGGAGACAGCACTTTTATCAATGTTTGCTTATTTTTCGCTGTTACCACTACAACTGCTTCCTTAACGACGGTCAGATAAGAAGATACGACGCCAGTGGCAGGAAGACTTTGCCAAAGCGCGCGGCCGCACAAACATCCCGAGCAGTCGGCATCGGTAAGTCTAAAGCTTTTATATGTATATACATACAGACGTCTGACTTATCTTTGCATTTATACACTGTGACAGCGTTTATGGAGTTCCTATGCAATACTTAAGTAATGGACGCAGTTTTTATGCTTCAGATAAGTGCCTTTCAGAAGGAAGAGTTTTTCATCTACGGCTGTGTCTGCTAAAAGGCCTGATGGACCAAATGATAGGTTCTCTGGATGCATTTTAAAAAAACAATTAATGAGTGGATTGCAGAAGGCCTATTAATTAGTTTGAGTGACCTTTTATTCTACCAACGCCTGATGGGACGTTAAAAACAACCATGTCCTTCATAATAAGATAGGCGGTCAGTGCCAGCATTCAGCTGTTCCACATGTTTTGATACTCAGGTTCACGCCCAAGAACTCAAGCTTCCTCGGAATGGGATTTCCATAGCTTAGTCTGAGAAGGACAAAATAGACTGCAAATGGCCCTTGCCGTACTTCTAGTCTTTTTCGTATTACTTCAAAATTACTGATTTTTTATGGCTATTTGACCGTTAAAAGGGAATTCAAGGTAAAACAAAACTCCCTGATTCACAAAATAATGAAGAAGGATGGAGTTGCCGTACTGCAATGCAATACGCCTACTGATTTGACATCTCTTCTCTCCGGACGAGAGATTTGTACTAAATACAACTGCATAAAATCGTGATCGGTGTAACGATTTGTTTAATTAGAAGTCCAAAGCATGTTTAAATTACTAGAAAGGACTAACGTGTGCCATAAAGTGGGCGTCTAACACACTGCTCAACCATGTCAGAAGTTATTCAACTCCCATATTATGCTATTTAGCTAGGTATTTTGAATGAGGATTTTCGATAATAGAAAACTGTTGAAAATACTGCGTATACACATGGTATTCGACAATTAGTAAGGGTAAATAGTATGACCCTTTTCCAATAACCTTTTCATTGTGTAAGACTTAAGATGAAGTCCTAAATTAAGTCCCACTAAAGACCGTTAAATGCTCCCGAATTATCACGGGACAGCCCACTGCATGCTAAAAGAGTGCTAGAGTTTTGCGTTTGAATATCGTGGTGTTACAAGGAAATTGGGTGAATCTAGCATAAATGTTTTCATTTAACTCGGCGACAACCCTAGCAAGCCCCATTTCAAAACGTTTTTTCTGTACCGGTTTATTAACGCCTTTCTTTTTCTCTCTCTATCTCACTCGCTCGCCCATCAGGCGTCATCTGTTTAACTTAATGCACACCAAGAATCTCATGGGGAACTTTGGAGGAACCCAGGGATGAGCCGAACCTATTTCAATCGCGTCATGCAGCCAGGCGCAGCTGGCTAAACACATATGCAATGCGAATAGAGAAATATATCCTCGAGTTTTTTGAGTTATCAAATTCTACCACCTTGTTCTCATATGATACAAATGGCATCTCTAATATAAATGCCCATTTTGAGTCGCAACGTTACGTTTCCAATAACGTACTTCAGAATATCGCTGTTGACGGTTCTGATGACTCCAGACTGCCCTTGTCAAAAGTTATCAGGGCAAAATGACAAAGGTCGAAATGACGGAGTTTCTAGTAGTCTAGCGCAGGTTGGTTGGTTTATTCTAATTTACCTCAAAATCCCAGCCATTTGACCAAACAACGTATAACATTTAGAGCGTTCATCATTTACTGGACTGAAGAGATTCCTTTCTCCTTGTTACTACAGAATTTCATCTTCTTCAAAGTTTATCTCTAAGGGACGGGTATTTTTCAGTTTTTAAAGGTTTTTAATTATGATATTGTTAATACTATGAAATGCTTATTTGTAAAGCATAGCATCTGTCCATTTATTAATGCGCTTATAAAGTATATAGAGTGGTCCAAATTAATTGCACAGTTCGATGAGCCCTATATGAAATCCTCGTAATAGCCTAAGGAAATGAACGATTTTCCTTACAAATAAATATACGGTCTCTTGTATGGGAGTTCTGAACGCAAGTTTCATGGCAGGTCGGGCTGAAAATTACTTGGCAATTGAGAAAGTTTGTTAAAACAAAAAGACGTCCCCTCCTATTGCGTAAAAATAAAGGATGACGTTATCCGGCATTAAATTAATACAAGAAGGCATATTTTTATGCGTCTTTCCTTAGATATATTTGAATTTATAAATGCATCGAAAATAAATGAAAATCACACGAGCTATTTAGGAAGCCCCTTTACAGAGTGCAGTTTTTCAGGCGGCCGAAAAGAAGCTCCGTAAAAAACTGGCACTCCGACGTGAATGCAATCTCCTGAGATGATGCTGCATGGCAACTAACGTGATAACACTACTGAAGTACTATGTTCGACAATGTTAGGGTGAAGAACCCCACGCAATTGTCGGTAGGCGGTGGATCGTGTCATATCGGAACGGTGGTAATGGGGATTTTATGGGTGAAGCAGCACGTCGGAAAGTAAGCTCACTAAATGCAAGAAAGCACAAAAACTTGTTTGAATTCCTGCCGAAAGTCCTAGCCCACGCTTTCGTGTGGCAACGGAATTAAGCATGTTAATAAAAAACAAATTTTCGTAAAATGACGGAGGTTAAGCAATGGTTTGGGATTATGGAAGGCAATTATTGTTGGCAGTGTAATGTCTGCAAGGGCCTGCAAATGGATGCCAAAACAAAACGCCACACAACACGATCCGCAGTCGTCTGACAGTTAGGGGTTCCTCCACCCTACCGTTCCCATATTTTCCAGTCGCAGACACATTTCTGAATTTCGGCTAATATTTTACAAGTTAGCAGTTCCCTCCAGAGCACGTCGAAACCTTAAGGATGACACAGCGGAGACACAAACATTCTCTCTTCCGGTCGTGTTTACTGAAAGACCATTCCTTTATTATGACTCCGCACCTTTCAGGAGGAATTGAAAGTTTAGCCACGTCTTCGGTTTACTTTTGTCGTTTCCACTCTCGGTCTAACCGCCGCCTGTCATCATTCTTGCAGCTTTATTTCCACTGTCTGCTCCCCCCTCTTCCCTGCCCGATGGACCATTTTTGGAGCCTTCGAGTGCAAAAGCTCCCCCTACACATTAAAAACAAACATAAACCTCCCGCTCAACTGCTAAATGTTTCGCCGCACATAAATTAGCAAAAAACCGGGACGTCTAGGGGAATGTGCCTTCAAATGATCGACATCCACCACCTTCATCACAAATTCGTCCCCCGCCATATGCCGTATTATTTATACTTCTTGCCTACGTTGGGTCAGTAGATCTAAAAAGTTAGGAGGCCTGGAAAAATAATCTACTTTTAAACATTTTTAATTTGTCGATCACTTTTCAGCCGATCACTGTCCACATTTTGCGCTCTTAAGTGAGTAATAATTCATATTGACCCAACTGTGAAAAACTCGGAACCTCGGTGGGATTCGAACCCACGGAGTAAGGAGAAGGCTTTAGTACAGCCAACGCTCTAACTCCTTGAGCTACGAGGCCGCGCCGGACGACTCGAGTTTAATCACATTTGAGGCAAGTTACCCGCCCAACCTACTGCGACGTCTGGAATCCACCAAATCTGATACAGTAAGTTGACTGTCCAAGCAGGATTTCCTAAGTAATTCACCTAGAATCCACCAGATGACTACTAGGCTCACGTAATTCATAGGTATTTTGGCAGATTTAGAATAATTCGTTGCAGTAGGTTGGGCGGGTAAACTTGACCCAAATGTGATTAAACTCGAGTCGTCCGGCGGGGCTCGTAGCTCAAGTGGTTAGAACGCTGCCTGTACTAAAGCCTTCTCCTTACTGCGCAGGTTCGAATCCCACCGAGTAGCCGAGTTTTTCACAGTTGGGTCAATATTAATTATTATAAATCTGCCAAAATACCTATGAGTAATAATTGCCTGGTGGCAGTTTTCGTTTGCAGGACCCAACCAGAAAATTGAATATTTTCATATAAGCACTGTTCTGACCTAAAGTTATCTGTTTAAAGAAAATAAGGCTGGTTTTTGAAGACTCGCCGAACAGTTATCAGTACGTGGTGGTTGGCTGTGCATGGGACAAGTATTAAGAATGCAGTCATCCTCAACAACGATAGGGCAACAGTTGATGACTTGTACGCCCGTTACTCGTTTCATGCTAACAAGGATCACGCCTTGCGGTAGCCTTTATAAATTTTGCATTGATCCTACCATGAATAAATTCACGAACATTATTCTGCTTTTGACTGTTTTCAACCACAAATAATGATAAACTGATTTATAGCGTAGGTCTGAAAAGCCATACTTGACCCATATTCCGCAATTTACCGTTGAATATTGTGTGAGACCGAAAGGTCGCGCCAAAAATGCAGGTGTCCTCTGTCTCGAAAATATCGTTCCTGATAAAATGTGTCTTTGTAGCATCTGCTGGAACCTTTCTATTATAAGGTCGCAAACGGCATTGTGGCATACGTCCTAATTGAAGAAAAGCCATTAAAAATAAATTATTGCTGAAGAAAAGAAGACTGAGGAATTATTTATTGTATAGCCTTAGTAAATAATGCAATTGTTTATAATAAAATCTTGTATGATTTTGTATCCTTCCTTTCAAGGGTCGACAGAAACAAACTTTTGCTCACTGGCTACCACTTTGCCCATATAAAACTATTTGCTAACTGCAAATATTGATTTCGCTTTTTGTTGAGCATTAGTCTACAACAACTATTGGAGTCTAGTACGAATAGAAGTGCGTAACTCGTACCACGTGAGAACCGGGTAAAATTTGGATGTATACTTTGAATTAAGCGTTTGTAAGGAGATTGCTGGAACGATCCAGGCGAAGTCACTTCAAGGGAACATTCGAATAATTGTACGCTTTGTGCAAAAATGGGTATATGACACAATTTACTCATCGGTTATTATTAATACTGATCCGCAAAGCTTTGACATATCACAATTCAAGAATGTTATTTGTAGATTTTCACTAAATGAAACCAAATAAATTTATTTTCATGTTTTAAAACTAAAGAATACGTACATACTACGGGACGCATATGAGATTTTCCCTCATTCAAAAATAAATGAAAACCAGATGTACTATGGCTGAGATTTATGTTAAAGGTATTTAAACGGCTAAGAACTTTGCATATCTTAATGTATCATCGCTCTTTTCTAAAATGTCTCGACTTAAGTTAAAAACATTTTAAGATGTTCCACGAAAAGGATGTGAACTTATAGAACGAGCCCGAATGATTAAAAAATTTAAGGTGTAAGGTATGATCAGTGAACAATTTAAAGTACATACTCCAAATTGAATAAAAGTGCATCACTTAACATAAGTGAACGTATTAGGGACATTTGTTTGTAATTTATTCATATCAAGGAGCCATCACACTGTTCGTTAAGGAAATCGTGTCCAAAAATAATGATATCCGTTTTCTTACTGAGCTCTTTTGACACAAGAAGATTCAAACTATGTGGGTTTTCAACGGTGCCTTCAAGGTCTCAAGTGGACTGCTCTAGTGTTTCCGAACAGCTTTTCATGTGATCCAGATTAACATGGCCAAAGTTAAAAGAGCCCTTTGTGGGCTTGTCAAGATGGAGGTGTTCTACCCAAAATTTACAAGAGCTTCTACATTCTCCCTCAACTGAACCTCCACTTACACTCTTTTAACTTCGGGTTTTTGTAAATGGGACCCATATTCTGAACTCATGAGGCACTAATACGTGAGTCGTGGTTTAATTTGGAATCTCGTTGCGAGCTAAAGTACTAGTAGGCAGTTTAATCGAGTCACGCCAGCTCTGCCATTGTTGAATTCGTTAACCCAGATGGCACTTCATATTAACTCATGCAAAAGGGAAGGCTCATGAAAACGACTGAGAAGAAAGAACATAGGGAGGCGCAAGACTATTTTCATGCAAATAACAGGATAAATGTTACAACCGAGAAAAAATAACATCTGCCCTCAAGTTTGAAATCACCCATTTCAGACCATTGGCAGTCTAGAAATCCAACGCTTTGTAAAATGCAAAGCCTGCGACCCGCGGTTTATTAATTAACCAGTTGTGCGTTCATTTCCGCTGTACCACAATAACACTGCGTGGGCGAAACACAAAATGTTTTAAACTAACCAAGTAATTGTTAGTTTAAACACCGATAGCAGCGACAAATTAGCATCAGGTAACGCTTACAATGCAGTATATCCAACACCTATCGCGCCAATGATGCACATTTACAACAAAATAGAAGCCGCTACGTGTAAGTACTAATTGTTGTCTACTTTGTGCATCATTTCAAGCATCATGCCTTAAATAACGCTGATTTGGAAAGCGATTCAGGCAAAACAACGTTTCTGACAAATATAAAGCAGACTGGAATGGCCATTTCTGGTAGCATGGCCGTCGTCAGTTAGTCATACCCAACCCAGAAGTGTGGGCCATCTGGGATTCGACCATCAAAACTAGCCAAAGTACACGCTGCTGTGCACCTGCTGGTTGGGCTTGAGAGAGAGCCCCAAAGCAGAGCGAGGCAAGCAAGTTACGCAACATGATCGGTAAGTGCCACCCTACCAGCGTTTGATTATTTTTAGGCGCCTGGAAGACTGCAATCAGCCGACGAAAAACAATAATCAGAAGTTAATTTTTTTTAATTCCTTCAAAAGTTTTCCTACTTGGCGGATGGAAATTAGATGCCAGGATTTCAGGACAAGTTAGAATTTTATAAAAGGAATTCCTCAATCATTGCTAAAGAATGTTGCTAAGCTCTAAAACATCATGTGGATACATTAATTTAGTACGACAGATGTCTATGCCTTTTTATTGATTACGAAGACAAGGATTAAGATCTGCTCCAAAAAATGGAAAACATTAATGAACTGAAAAAAACTTAAGTGTATTACACGGATTGCTTTCAGTTCGATCTGACCAAAAGCATTTTACGACTATAAGACAGTTTAATCGACTTATGGAAAAAGTCATGGATAATGAACTTTGTTCCTCAACAAGCAGTCTAACAGTCCCTATCATGAAGCCAAATCATTTTTTTAACAGTTTTGTTTTTCACCAACAGCTCATCTTAAATCACACGTGTAACAAGGTCAGTAAATGGGTTAGCAATGATTTTTATTTTATAAATTATGCGTATCTATCTGCAGGGACGTATTCTAGAACCTTTATCGCATAAAATGAACATTTTGTAAAGCAAACGGTTAGTTTGCCTATGTGTCCAGTTACCGTAAACCATTTACAATGTACGTGTTTGGCTGAGTCATAAACCACGAATAAAGTACCTTTAGCTAAATTTCTTATGACAGTAAAAGCCTAAAAACAAATTTACTTATAAGTTTCTGTTCAAATTGATGTAAACTTCGAAAGTTTTCCAGTAACCAAAATGAGCCCCATTAGCATGAGCATATTTCTCGGTTATGCGGAGGTTTCATTTAGACACATACATATTTCTTTGAATGGAGACTCAAGGTTTCCGTGCACGAGTTCGTTATTTTGCACAGTCGCTTGTGATAGTTCTCACTGTTCTACGCGTTCAGACTGCCGTCCACAACGTTATCGGCGAGTCGAGTTTTTAAAGTAATATACATACTTATAAATACACTTGGGTTTTGCGATAAGATTCATGTAACTGAGGACTGTTTCCGAAATTGAAAACGACAGTACGTCCATGGTGATTTTGAGGGATCCCAACGAATACAACTAGCTATTTTTGCCTTGACTGACATTTTAATTTCGGGCCAGTTAAATGCCCGCCGATGACTGATTCATACGCCTGCAAGTATAAAAACACGTGTCCGATGCTTGCTGCTAAAGTTTCTTATTAGGTGCTGGATATGAGTATAACTGACTTTTATCTATTGGGCCGTCACGAAACCTGAAATGTTATTGTTTTTGTGATGGAGCCATGAAGTTATATCGCTTGCGCCCCAAACAATTTATAATTCTAAACCTCCCATTACATTTCCGTTGACAGCATTACATTAGCACTAAAAATGACTTTTTCCACTTCGTATATAAACTCGCTGTCTGACATGCCATGGAACTTATAGTTATAATGTCTTAAGATATTATCGTGATCCCGGTGGTGTTTATATAAACATCTTTGCCTATAATATTGTAGGTTTATTGACTAACATTTTGAATGTAAGAGCGCACTGTAGATTGTCAATAAGAAAAAACTGACGATTAACCGACCAAAGACTGAATTAAGAAACATTTTTTCTTCGATGTGCGAAAATCCTCTTAGTCTCTGTCTACAAGAATAGCAATATTGTTCTCAAACCATTGTATCATGTAAGCCAACTCAAGTACTTGCTTCAGAAACAACATTTAAAAACAAAGAAACACGGAAAATCAGTGAATTTTTGGGAAGTGGGTACACGTTACCTATAAAATACATACTACCTGAGGTGCTTCTTGACTTGTTACATTTACATCCAGTGACCTTCGCAGTTTGAATAAATGTCGTAAACTTGAGATAATCGCATCTGATTCTACCAAACAAGTTTGGGTTTGCAGTCTAGGACACATTGACGTTCAAAGATCTAGAAATGTTTGAAAAAGCTGTTAATACTTGGAAGAATGCGACGCAAATTTTGGGGATGGTGCATTGGCCTGCAGACCAACATAAATCGGTTGGAGGGGTGGTCAAGTCATCGGCCCATGTGGTTCAACGTCTGCAAGAGTAACATACTTCACCTTGACAATCCAACCAGAGCTACAAACAAAACAAATTGCTTTCTCAATGACGCAGATCTACAGGACGTGGAAGGCCAAGAGGACCTCGATTTGCTGACGACAAACTTCTCAAAATCCTCCACTCATCGCTCTAGAATGGCAAAGGGAAAGTGCCTGTTTTTCAGGTTATAAAAAGACCTTCGTGTTTCTTTTGACGAAAACCACTTTTCCGGGATCTCTGAAACATTCCTGAATACGACATCCAAGCCTGGAGACCATGAGCGGTTTAAGATCAAGTTCCGCTCGAAAGGATGGAGATGCGAGCCAAAAAATTAGTAAGAAGTCAGAGAGCACTGCCATACGAGATCCGCTTAAAAAGCCTTAATCCTTGTCCTCTGAGTTGCATGTAGTTGGACAGAGACTTTTCTTAACTTTCGGTATCGCGCATGAATTGGTTTTTGCCCTCCAACCGTGCCTTTGGATCTTGGAATAACCTACACGAGTCAGTTGTAATGGCTTATTCTGTAGTGGCATTCACACCGCCTTTACAGACGGGTGCTGCAGGAACAGTCGGATTACGGGAGTATCTTAACATAAAAACTAATGGACAAAGAGAATATAAATCTGCATTCACTTGACGCTGTAATGCCTTAACATTGTAAGTAATTCATGCGATTTGTATGTGACGAATAAGGATTTGAAGCCTAACGCCTGTTTCATTAAAATACATTGAACGCTCTATGTTTATGACTTAGGCTTATCGAGTATTGCAGTCTTCAACACCTAACAGGCGCAAATGTAACGTACCCGTATAGGGCTCAACTCTGCAGGCGGTAAAAGAGTTCATCGCTGGGCATATTTAAACCACGGGCCCACCCTCATCAAGAAGGACAGCGAACACAATTTTGCACTGGACCACGTCCACGTCTGCTAGACGTCAGTAGATACTTCGGTGCGCATGTCCTAGTTGATCTGTGCAGACTGCTCATTATTTGCAGTAGAGTCTTCTACTAAATAAAAGTCTCTCTTAATAGCGCTTTGTAAATATGAGGCCATTCATGTTCCGGCGTCACCTGGTGTCTTATCTTTGCGGACTTACAATGAGTACACACACAAATGTGTCCAGACTGAATCGTCGCTCTAAATGCTTCGCAGAATCGGAAAAACAGCAGTAAAATAATCTTCCTGGAACAGTTGTGAGGTTAAGGTCCCTGCAGCTCTCAAAGAAACGTTCCGATGAGTCAAACTTTCCTTATTATCCCTTGTCCGAATGAAATATGAAATTGGAAGGAAATTCTAAAGAGCCACAATAACCATACAATGCGTCCCTCCAAGTAATCCGTCCGATAGTTATATGGCCGTTTATTTTGCAAGTAGAGGCTACAGTCGCTGTGTAATCAAGCCTTCCATGAATCTGCGGCTCTAATTCGCATATACCAACGAGCAAAGTAAGTTGTCAAGTTTTTAAGAGACGATGTGTGCGTCTACAGACTCTGCCGAACGTCATCCCGTTGATAAAAACATGGTCGTCTGGAAACCTGATTGATCTCGAATTGACACCAGGTGGATTTCACTTTTTTACCAGAGATATAAAAGGATGCCAGGAAAGGGGAAGTCTTGACGCACGTAAATCGTGGACTGTTTGTTTCGGAAAAAACGGAATAACAAGCATGCAACACTGAGGTCATTCAGCTCCTATAAAGGTACGAATATCACGAAATTATGCTGTCCTGATAATAATAATATTTATTATTATTATTATTATTATCATTATTAAAGACCCGTCGGAGTCCCATCAAAGCAAATAAAAATAAATTTACATGCGAATTTTAGACGAGGTAGGCAAAAACAGTACAAAGTGCAATACATAGTTTTTGAGATTAGAAGCCCGTTAAGAAAAATGATAAGCGAGGGGTGAAAAAAGACTCCATTTGTAAAATTTCAAAGTGTTTGGATCAATTTTACAGGAGAAAAAAACCCTCGAAAACATAAAATCAGAAAAATGCGGGCAGGACTGGCCTGCATGTGGCGGTATAGAATGGATTATAGTCGGGCATCGTCAGGACCGAAATAAATGTCAGCTGTGTATGACATTGTATAACGGATTTCCTGATGGGTTAAGTAGGCGGGTCGGTCAGGACTGGCCTGTATGTGGCCTTGAATAAGGCAAATAAGTTGCGAAATTGAAAACCAGTCTCGAGCTGATAGGAACCCAGATGCGGTCGGTTACATTCATCCGAGTCCATCCGAGGATGGGGCAAGGGAGATACGACCAGACTACTAGTATATGGCGAATACAGAAGGTTTCGCCAAGAGCACGATGAGGGCACGATGCATGAACTGAAAAATTGGAAAAATTAACATTTCTGGTGAGGGATCATAGGAAGCCAGGTTACTCACAAAGGAAGGAAATGTGAACAGATACGGAAATTTAATGGCGGCATACTAAATTCCCGGTGGTCCTTTCTCAGTGTCATAGAAAAAGTTGTCTGGAAAGGATGAGGAAAATAAAAGTTTAATCGAGTCAGTATTCAGATAAAGGCGTAGCCTCCTCTTAAACGTGTGTAGATTTTCTGCAGATGTTATATTTATTGGAAGATTATTCCAGAGGAAAGTATATCTGGAGGCGAAAAAAGGGAGCGCTTAGAGGTGGAGGACGTTAGAGGAGGTATAATCAAGGACGAGTTGCGTAGATTGTATGGGCGACTACTAGGGGTGAGTGCTGAAATCCGAGGAAAATTCGAACTATGATTAATGCAAAAGAGGAGACAGAAGCCTGCTTCTAGTCTTCGAACCCATAAAAATTTTAGGTTAATTAGCTGGCATCTATCTGAGTAGGAGATATTGGGATGTTCCTTATCTAAAAGTTTTTTAGAAAAATGTCTTTGAACATTTTCAATTTTTAAACGACTGGCTTCATCCATCAAACCAAAGAATGGGCAACACTACTCGAGAATGGGAAGTACAAACATCGGATACAGTCTATTTAATTTCAGGAATATAGAAAGCGTAAAAAACAAAGCCACAAATCTGGGCAGCTTTGGCTGTAATTCTGTCAGCGTGTGGCAAGCGATCAAGACTACTAGTGTAGCTTAAACCTAAATCCTTGATGATGGTACATTCAGTTATAGGTGTGCCTTGAAAGACCACTGGTTGGGGTAGTCTATCAGGTCCAAAGCACATATAGCGACATTTAGACGGAGAGAATTCCATTAGCCATTTTGAGCTCCAAGCTGAGAGAGCAAGCATGTCAGCATGGATTTGCTCCAGGCAATGAAGGCTCGTAGAGTTTTTGAAAGAATATACACATTTGAGATCATCGGCATAAATAAATGATTGAGAATGTTTATCTGCTGCCGAAATATCATTTATGTAAAGCATGAACGAAATAGGACCTAAAACGTTACCTTGTAGGACACCACTTACAATAGGACTTTCACTGGAGAGTGAAGATCCCACCAAAACCTTATGTTTACGATTAGACAGGTATGACCTGAGAAAGTCTATTAGTGGACTGCGAATACCCATAGCTTCCAATTTAACCAAGAGTCTTTTATGTGGTACGTTAACAAAGGCTTTACTAGGATCAAAATAAAAAACGACAACAGATAGATGGCCATTACGAAGAGAGGTAAGTAAATTGAGAAACGACAGATGACATGTTTCACAAGAGCGATCTGGTAAAAAACCATGCTGGGAAGGGCTAAGAACTTGATTGGCTATGCAAAATTCGGCAATTTTTACGCCGATAATTTTTTCAAAGATTTTGGCGAGGGTGGGTGTTTTATGGACACCTCGATAGTTCTGTACGTCAGAACGACAGCCAGACTTAAATACTGGAATAATAATAGAAGTTTTCCAATTGTCAGGGAAGAAGCCATTTATCCTCCGTTCGTCTCAAGGCTCAAGTTCGTCTGCTAGAGGAGACAGAGAACTTTATTTTTTGGTCTAACGTCTGGATCATGGGCAATTTAATGTGGCGCTTGTTGACTGGATTTTGATACACGCACTCAGTTTATAATCAACCTTTAACGGTCTGGTTATTCCTCCGTCATCGAATCTTATTTTCGATGAGGAGGCATGAAAGACAACAGTTGGTTTGTCTGAATCTGTTCCTCCAGAAATCTCCGGACAGGAACGGTGCGATTTAAAGTCTTTTTCTCAAGATCAAGTCAACCACGTCCTATTGCCCTGGGAATACTCGTTCTATTCAATGTCCGAAAAAGGTATGGGTTTGCAGTTATATTTGGCGCGGCTGCTTCGGCCAAATAAGGATCGAAACAAACCTCATAAACTAAATCCGCTCCTACCGGTAATTCAGTGGGTAATCGGGTATGATTTAGCGAATAATAGCACATGATCCTTCAAAACCACTGCCCTGTTACATGTATGAAGCTAAACAGCAGACTCCTTAACCGATATAGGCTCAGAGGAGAGAAGTAAGCAACAAGTGTACTGCGCAAAAATCCCCTCTCTGAACGGACGCCGTCTCTGGTTGAACAGAATAGGTTTATTATACCACCCTTTGGGCACTGTCAGTTTCTTTTGAACTCAGGAAAAAAACCTAAACTACCATCAAATGTGTAGGGCCTTGTCAAAAGGTAAATTATTATTTGTTACTCGAAAGATTTTAGTGTTTAATGGGTAAGTTAATGGAAGTGTGAAGAAAAGAAACGAGGATATATATGCATGTGTTTATGGAATGCTTAGGAATTATGATGTCCGTTTTATACTTGGCTTTTAAGGGCTATATCCTGATGTTATTCTAGTGGTCGGCATCACCAAAGCCCCTTCGGTCTCAATTATGTGTTTGAGAACTGACTTGAAAAGTGTCTATCTGTTTCAAAAGTAAATGTGTACTACCATTTAGAAGGAATTTCTTGGTTTATATTTCAAATTCTACTAAGTTTCGACTTTTTTGAATAGAACTTTGGAGGGCATTCCATGGACAAAGATTTAACAAAGTGTCTCTGAATGCCTACTCTCTTCTTTTGGCCCTTTGAGAACACTGTGTCGAAGAAAACTGCGCAGTAATCTAAAAGAGATAAAACGTACATTTTGTAAAGTTGTTGTTGGGCAAACTTTTGTCATATGCATTCGCACGAGCGAGCGGCTTTTTTCAGTTCAGTTCAGTTTATTGAGGGAAATAGGCGTAAGCATTTGAGTACCCTATTTGCAACGTAAAAAATGTGTAATGTACAGATAGATGTTCTGGGCTGAAATAGTTCGAACACGCCCATAATGGTGGGACAAAATGAGAAGGAGTTACAGGGGTGAGCTCGACTTCTCATCGCTCTTGGCCATTTCGGAACATAAATATGTCCAGATTCTTCTTAAAAATTTGTATAGATGGTGGCATCACAACATCTGCGGGAATCACATTCCATGGTTTGACCACCCGAACCGAGAAGGAGAACTTCCGCACATCCAGCCGTGCCTGCTGAGTGCGCAGTTTTAACGGGTGACCTCGGAGGTTGGTCGTGGTAGCAAATTCAAAAAAGTCTTCGAAGGCCAGACTGCAATCCAACCCCTTTACAATGCGGAACGCTTGCAAGAGATCTCCGCGAAGTTGCCTGTAACTCAAAGGAAAGAGGTTCAGATTTACTAGGCGGGTTGAATAAGGAAAGGAGCTTTGACCCCTAACCATCTTCGTGGCTCTCCTCTGGACTCTTTCGAGGCAGTTTTGATCCACAACAGCCCACGGCCTCCAAGCTTGTATAGCGTACTCTAAATGCGGCCGGACGAATGTTCAGAATGTCCTAGAGAAAGCTTCTTCATCAAAGTCCATAAACGCACGCTTGATGGCGTACAGTACGGACATTGCGGTTTTTGCCACCCTCGAACAGTGGGCGGATGTTTTTAGGGAACTCGTCGTAAGCACACCGAGGTCCTTTTGGGCTTCGACCTCTTGTAGGGCTGCACCGCCCAGAAAGTAGCCTCTTGTGCTGGCGGATCTGGCTGTGATGCCTAGGCGAAGTATGCTACATTTTGCAACGTTGAACCGCAGGAGCCAACGGTTTGACCACTCCTCCGACCGATTCAGATTCATCTGCAGGCTGTCTTCGTCGGCAGGACCCCGAATTACACTCCATATCTTCATGTCATCCGCAAACATTGCTACTTCACAGTCTAAATCTCTTGCGGCATCGTCCACGTAGATAAGGAACAAAATGGGTCCCAGAACTGAACCCTGGGGGACACCACTATCGACCATAGCCGGATCTGATTTTCCCCGACCGACGCACACAACCTGGTGTCGACCCACAAGGAAGTTTTCGATCCATTTAAGGAAGTTGCCACCGATCCCTATTTTTTTCAGCTTATGTAAGAGTCTTTGGTGTGGCACAGTGTCGAAAGCCTTCTGGAAGTCGATGAAGGCTATGTGGACCGCGTGCCTGTCGTCGAGAGCTCGGGTCCAGCTCTGCAGAGATTGCAGCAGGTTTGTCGTGCAGGATCTTCCTTTTCGGAACCCATGTTGGCATTTCGATAGCAGGCCGTGAACTTCCAGGAATTGCATCAGTTCAGTCTTTATGATCCTTTCCATAACTTTGCAGAGAATGCATGTCAAGCTTATGGGCCGGTAATTTGTCGTCGCTGCCCTGTTACCTCCTTTGTGTAGCGGAGTAATATGCGCCAGCTTCCAATCGACAGGAAGTGTTCCAGTGTCAAATGACGTTTGAAAGAGCATCGACAAAGGCACAGAGAGCTCACTGGCAAGTTCCTTCAGAAGCTTGCGTCGAATCTCGTCTGGTCCTGGCGACTTCGATTCGTTCAATGCCTCTAATTCTCTTCGGATAATGCCTTTTGAGAAGAGTATATCACTGACGCTTGGAGTCGGCAGTTCTTCTGTGGAGGGAGGAAGGAACCTTGCCTCGTTTGTGTAGACTGATTGGAAAAACCATGAAAAATACGCAGCTTTATCCCTACTATCAGCGATCTCATCGCCATCAGTAGTCTTTATCAAAGGGATTTGATGCCTGTTCCTTGTAGTTCGTCGGAGGTAGCTGTAGAGCAATTTTGGGTTCTGCGTTGCTTTTTGTAGCAAGTTCTTCTCGAATTCCCGCCGCGTCTGCATTATCAGCTTCCTCAGTTTGTTCCTCTGGGTCTTGTAGGTGTTGAAGCATTCAGCTTGTCTAGTGACGCAGTATTTTCTCCATAATTTGTGCTTCCTGTTGATTTCTTTTTTGAGGTTGCTATTTAGCCACCCAGGGCGTTTGTTCAGTCTTACACTAGTCAGTGGGCAGTGGTTGTTGATGAGCTGCAGAAGGACATTCTTGAACAGCTCCCAGTCATCGTTGGCACTTCCCGTAAACAAAGAGCCCCAGTCAAGACCGGATTAGTCTGCCCTCATCTGATTGAAGTCGCCCCGCCAAACATTACGCCTTTTGTGGTCTGGAGTATGTGAAATGGAGATTAACGAATAATCCCACATAAGCACTACGTGGTCACTTCGGCCAAGGGGCGGCATGGAGACGATCTCGTCTATGCTGTCTCGTGTTTTCGTAAAGACCAGATCCAGGCAGTTTGCCCTTTGTCCTTCACGTGTTCTCGTTGGGAACATTACATGTTGTGTGAGGCACGCATTTAATGTCTTGCTCAACAGGCGGTAATCGAATGCCGATTTTGGACCTGACGCTTGGAGGGTATTCCAGTTTGTTCCTGGTGCGTTGAAGTCGCCCATGATCATGATGTTAGGTCGACTGGAAAAGTTCTCCAACTGCTCCAATAGTTGAGTGTCGGCGATTCGGTCTGTCCTAGGTGGTCGGTAGACAGTGAGGACATCGAGACACGGGGAACCGGTAGCCTTGATGGTCAACCAGATAGCTTCCGTACTGCACGCAAACTTGGTGGTCCTAGGTGGTCGGTAGACAGTGAGGACATCGAGACACGGGGAACCGGTAGCCTTGATGGTCAACCAGATAGCTTCCGTACTGCACGCAAACTTGGTGGTGTTATCCGACACTTTCAGACCGTCATTCACATACACAACGATACCACCACCCTGACGATGTTCCTTTTCCCTCCGATAAATTTGGTATCCAGGCAAGGCTACTTCGTTATCGCTAATATTCCCGGACAGCCAGGTCTCAGTTACTGTTAAAACATCTGGAGACAGCTCAACAAGGCAAAGTTTTAGTTCGTCTAGTTTCGATAGGAGGCTTTGGGCATTCGTGTACAAGCACCTCAGTTTAGCACCAGCCGAATTTCCCGTTGCATTTGTAACTGCTGTGAGCATTACTCCGTTATCGCGGACGTCGTGTTCTCTAGGCTCTTCCGTTACCTGATTGGTTCCATTTACAAGCCTTGTTTCAGTCAGATCACTGGACGCTACGGGCTCACTTGTGTTGGCGCCTTGATCAGGTGGTTCAACGAAGGTGTCTGTTTTAGCTGAGTAGCTGTCGTCGTTCGTAGTATTACAGGCTGGTTCCCCTGAAACGGCATATATTTTCTAACTACCTTCCCCTTGAAGATAGCCAGATTGTGTTCGCCATCCTTCAGTCTTGATTTTAACTCCAAGACAAGTTCCCGGCGTTTCAACCGTTCCGCTGGTGAATAGTCCGGTTGAAAAAAAACCTGCTTGTGTGTGTTTCTGAGATCGGTTTTTTTAGAGAGGATAAACTTGATTTGCTCTTTGTACTCCAGCATAATTTTGAGAGGGCGAGGTGGTTGTGCTACTGTCCTGTCTTCACTCCTTTTTCCTATCCGGAATGCTTTCAGAACCTTTATTTCCATGTCTGCCGGCAGTAAATGATTTAGCAGACCATGAAAAGAAGCAAGGTCCTCTGAGACCCGGTCTTCAGGTCTGACTGCATTCGATTCTGACAAACCCTGAATAACCAGACACCGCTGGCGAGCATGGTCCTCCTTACTCTGTCTTTCCGGTGAATGCGCTGCATGTGGGCGAGGACGATTTACGGAGTCATCGCTTGAACGCACACTTTTACTGTCTACCGACTGTCCCGAGCAACCCATCAGGGCTGGCTGTGACTTCAGAATCCTGTCATGGCGTTTCCCTCTCCCCTCTACCCACGGGTTTATGTCTTCGAATTCAGCTACGTGCTCTGTAGTGCGCTCAGGGTGGTGGCCAGAACAAGAGGGCAACAGTAGACTGGATGACCCAGGTATATCTTCTCCAGGCAAAACAGAAATCCCATCACTTACAGCAAGAGGCTTAGTTGAGATGGCTTCCGCGACATGTAACTTTTTTGCGACAATGCTTAAGACATCGTGCGTGGGAATCGAGTCTCCCTTTATCGGCGGCTTCATTTTCATTGTCCTGCTGTTACCGGCGTCTGAGGTTTTGGCTGTTGAGTTGCTACTCGTGTTTGAAGATGCCTCCAAGGAGATATTTTTGCGCGTTTTTTGCGTTTTGCTCTTCGTTTTTGGGGTTCTAACACTGGACACGTTCTGGCCGACTACGGTCTGTTTCACGAGCGTCCTTAAATCAGCAAGCTCCTTTTCGAGTTGTTCTACATTGATTTGAATATCTGCGCACCCACCACAAGGCTCGTCTTCGTACCTCACACTTTTTGCGGTATTTTCGCTTTTTGCACGCTTTGCTGGTCGTTGGCTGGAGGCGAAGGTAGAGCGAGCACAGGTTCTGGATGCGAAGGACAGCTCACCGGACTTATCTTCCAAAGAGGTGCCGTCGCTGGCCGTACTACTACAGTTAGCTTGCTGAGAATCCATAAACTTCGACTTGATATAATAAGTATAATTTCGCTTTCGATGTTATAACGAATACGTCGGCTTATATATGATGAATTAAAGTGAGTATTCAAAACTCAATAAGCGAAAAAATACTTAAAATCCGATGAATTTTGTTGAATTTAATCAGAAGCGACTTAGCCCTTTCCTGATCTCGTGGGACTTGAATAACTGCAGACCTTGAAGGATTTTGAGCGATTGGTTTTCTAGGCTGTATATCCGTAAATCGGTTGCGTAGCCCGTTGCGTTGTCAGCTGAACCGTGCTGATAAACAAATTGCACTTAATACAGGTTCCTGGCGAATTTCGATGCGTGAAAAAATATTCTAAAAATGCACACAGTAATTCTGTACGTACGGTTCCAGTATCAATGTCAGAGACTGTAACTGTGGAATGGTAACCAAGTCGAAATTGGCCCAGTTGGAGCGCAGAATAATTCCGTCTATTCCTTTAATGTGAGGAGATAAATCGAGAGTATCTGTATGGCTTAGACAAAGGTCTTTCACTGATTGAATTTTCTTTACTTCATTGTCATCGAAAATTATTGGGAAAGATTTTGTTGACCAGAAATCGGGCAATGCCACTTTGTCATTGAGAACGGCATTTGCCGTTGCCCACTCCGTACACCAATTTATTGCGAGAAATTGACGTGTGCCTTAAGTGCAATATACACAGAACTATGTGCTTTGATATAGTTCAAAGGGAGCCATAGGATTATGAAAATTTGGACGTGAGTCTCGACAACTGAGTTCAATTTATCATCCCTCCGTTAATTTGGGAACGAAAATTCGTCAAGGTTTCCTCATTGGTGACATCACAGCATTTGTTTACAGTGCATTTCATGGTCTGACCATTCTGACAGAGAAGCAGAGCTTGCGAACATCTAGCTTGCCTGCTGAGTGTACAGTTGTACTGGGTTACCTCAGAGGGTGGTCGTGATAACAAATTTGAAAATTCCCCAAAGGATGGTCTGCAATCCAATCCCTTCAAAGTCAAAGGCGCATCCAATTGCCGACTCAGCCACTCTGACATCGTGTAAATCTAGCTTTCGTCTAAAATCTTTTCCTCCACAATCGGCAAACACTGTTTCAAACACCACGGCCCACATCGTAGCGTGTTTCAAACTGCCCCCAACCCCCATACTGAGGCGGTTAGGCCGAATATGTCGACATTCCCGCCTTTTAATAGAACTCTTCCTCCAATGGATGCAGTACGTCCCCCACCCCCTAACATGTTTTCTCTGTGTCCGTTTTACCAATGCCTTTCTCATGCTTATATCCATACTGGGTCAGTTAACCCATCCGATCCTCAGGTTCGTTCCGGCGGGAGTACGTTACAGTATCCGGCCCGTGGATTTTCAACTAAAAATGAGTAAGCTAACAATGGTTACCAGTTTCCCTTCCCGTCATTTCCTCCCCCAAGTCCTACCCCTTTTTATCCACGTCAGAATATTTTGATGCCACAAAATATTTTGCAGAACCGGATGGGTACTTCCGGACTGTGTGTTCTGTGGACAGCCAAACACTGGACGACGTAGCCAACATCCCTCAGAAACAAATAGCCTTTCCCCATAAACTCTTTGTCCTAAACGCCAGACCCTTGCTAAATAAGATGCCGTTGCTTCACACTCTGGTGTTCGTCCATCGTCCAGATATTGCTTTGATAACTGAGTCATGGGCCTTAGCTTCCGCAGCTGACTCCGAATTCTCTCCTCTTGGTTATAATTGCATCCTAAATGATTGTCAAGACAGCCGTGGTGGGGGCAGTTGCGTCTACTTTAAACAAACACTTACATTTCTGCCGCTGGACCTCCCACATTGTTCCGCAGAAGAAGGCAGCTGCTTGCTCCAGTTTGCACTAAAAAATAAGTTCTCCCTACTCGGTGGCTGTGTTTATCGCCTCCCTTACGCCAACGACAATTTTGATTATTTACTCTCACAGGCATTTCATGCTGCGTCCGACGTACGCTTTAAGTATCGATTGGTTGCGGGTGACTTTAATCTTCCTGAAGTCCGCTGGTCTCCCCCTTCCGGCCCCCGAAGGTTCGAAGCGGAGATTGTCTGAAGAAAAACAGCTAGCCGAAGAGGTCCAATTCACTGAAAACCGTTCTTTAAATGTGACGAACCTTTACTTCCGAAAAGTACAAATTCAAAGAAAGACGCAACATCCCAGCCTCCGAGACGCTCTCGGAAATCCTATAGCTGATGCCCAGTTAACCGCTGATAGCTTCAATGCTTTTCTGTCCAAAACTTTTATTGAAGACTCGACCACTCCGCTTCCGACCATCCAGGCATTGACTGGGACAGTTCTCGAAACTATGACTTTCACTTAGTGGGATGTGACTGTTGCGATTCGGCGTTTTTGTCCATCTCATAGCCCAGGACCTGATGGTCTCCCAGTAAGCATTTTAAAAGCCGATGCAAATATGATTTTCCCATCCTTCTTATGCAAGATATTCAATCTCTCTCTTGAAAGTGAAACTTATCCTACCTTGTGGAAGAAATCACACATTTTGCCCATTCCCAAGCATGGCCAATGTACGTCATTTGATGACTTTCGGTCAATAAACACCCTCCCGCAGTTTCGAAGATCTTAGAGATGCTGATGAAAGATAAGATTATGTGTCACTTAATAGAGCATAAGCTACTGAGCGCTGCACAGCATGAATTCATTAAAGCTCAGTCTCGTGACACCTGTCAACTGTCTTTCCTTGACTATCTTCTCCAATCTAGGGACAATGGTTTCGCACTTTACAGAGGATATTTCGATTTCACTAAGGCTTTTGATCGTGTTGACGATGCTATTCTTCTGTTGAAACCGTCCTCTTTCGGAATAGGTGGCAAACTTCTGAATTTTATATCCTCTTACCTGGGCACTCGTACACAACGTGTTAAGATTTCCAATACTATCTACACCTTACATGTGTGAGGAGTGGAGTCCTTCAGGGTGGTGTACTCGGCCCGCTATTATTTTGCCTTTTTGTTAACGATGTGCCCGATGTATTTCAGAATGGCAAGCCCTTTATGTATGTCGATGATCTTACAGTTGCTTATCGATATAAGCCGGCAGATCGTGACACCGTGCTTGAACTCCTAAAGAGCGACCGACAGGCCTTTGCCCAGTGGTGCCGCACATGGCGCCTTTCTCTTTCTTGGCATAAATGCTCACCCATGGTGGTTGGCGAGGACCACCAACCTCAACTAAGTATTGACGGTGACGGCTTAAATGTGCGTGGGGTTATTAAGGATCTGGGTGTATCATACTTCAGGAGCCTCAATCTTTCGGAGCACTGTGTCGTAATAGTCTCCAAAGCACGTAGAACGGCCGGGTTTATCCTCCGAAACTTTAAAGCTAGCGACATTAGCATGCGCATTCATAACATGTACGTTAGACCTGGCCTGGAATACTGTTCGTTTTTATTTAGCCTCATACGTGCTGCTGAGCGGAAGAATATAGAATCCGTTCAACGGTTTTTTACCAAGAGAGTCTTAATCCTGGAACAGTGACATTTGTCTTACCAAGAACGCTG